TCGATATATGGTGTATATTTTATACTGGCGACCAGAAATTTCACATTAGGTTGTGCATAAATAAGGTCCACCAATAAGTGTAGGATATTTACCAATATTGCAAATAGCACAACAAAAAACTCAACATCGTTGTCTGGTTTATTGAGCTCAGAATATTCCATAGTGTTTGCCAAAAATGTTTATTAATGCTTCATAAACTAGAAAAAATCATTAACAACAAGAGTGGACTAAGCCCTAGATTCGACGCCTGGGCGGCCTTATTAAATAGGCATTGCTTCTACGGAATGCGTGGCAAATGGGGAATTAAAAAAATTCACATATAATTTTAATAAAAATATTTTATTTATCCTACCCTTTACATTTAACCGCCTCTATTCACTACAAAAACAACAAGAAACACTAAATACCTCCAGCAATGCATTTGGCCAAACTCTTCCTTCTAATTCTTATAACAACTTTTGCTTATTTTGATTATTGATTGAAATTTATTTTTAATTTTGTGAACACACGTTTTAAATTCCATTGAATGGAAGGCACCGACTTTCCCCGCCGTCGATCGACCCATTTCCATATTCAATGAAAACACACACACACAGCTAGACATACAAAAGGAATGTTTGCTAATATATTTTTGGGGCGTATGATTGCTGCATTGCAGACGCACGTTGCTCATTCTCACAGAGACACACAAACAAGCACCCAAATGGCGATATCGCCCAAATGTCTGTCGTCTAACTCTTTGAGTTAGACATCGACTTCAGACAGTTGACCGGACCTGTCAATGGTCTTCTGTTTTACGTGGATAGCCAATTGTCCTTTCATCATTGGTTGGGAAGTCACTGAAATGTCAATTTCTTTTGGGCCTACATGATGGTTATGGCATGACGGTAGGTTTGTTGGCTTGATCGAACAACAAGATAACCAAGCAACCAACACCACTGGCTTTGGGCCAAAGTATCAATTTTCATTAAAAATTCAAGCAGCTTTACAACGTTTTTTTTGTGTTTTTATAACTTTTTGTCTGACGTTATGTTTTTTTTTCTTTTGCTTGAAAACAAAAGTTCAAAAGGTTCTTCACCTTTTTAACTTTGGCCAAAGACGAAACAAAAACCAAATATATACAACAGCATTCTAACTCACACATCGACCGATCGACCGACAGCTATTTAGCTAAACGTCAAACGATAAATAAATGGCAAATTGTTAGTAAACATTTAGGGGCAATTAACACGAAAATGCCCCAAAAAACGTAGCAATTTTTTTAAAACACAAAAGCAAGAACAACCACGGCAATGATAAGTTTTCATTTTTATCAATGAATGGATGGTAGTTTATTTGAACGTGAAAGATAAAAAAAAACCAATGGTGACCAGCCCTAAAATGTTTGTTGCTGCGCTCGTCTAAAATGAAAGAAAGAAATGGACAATAAAGGTTGTCTGATTTTCAAAACAAACTGCTGCGATAACTGCTAATGTTTTGATTTATGGCTTTTAATTGAATTTAAACGAGAAACAAGCCCCCCAATTTTTCGTTCTGTTTATCATATCTAAGTTATAACAGGTCATCTAATTAATTGATTTTACAGGTCTCGAAATAGTTATTTTATTGAATTTATTTCGATACGAAAATGACATGACGTGTTTATGCCGGGAGTAATGACCAACCTTGCTAAATTATTGGATATCCATGGTATAATTAAGAAGGCAGACATATATTTATATTTAGTTTTTTTTTTTTCAAAATTATTCTTTGACAATATATATCTCAGCCATAGGGCTAGACAGGGTATATATCATTTGATACATCCAAAACTTGCCTCATCGAAATAACAGTTTAAACCTTAGGTCTCTGTGGACCAAATCTGTCTGAGGACTTTCTGTTTGGCTGATGCGCAAAGGAACTCTTGAAGTGTTCCAATCTTGGTACTTCGTAATATTAAAGTCAAACACAGATTGAGCTCGGAAATGGACAACAGCGATCCACTCCTTCTGGCACCTCCCACTCAAAAAGGTCGAAATTTAAAAAAAAAAAGTAAAAAATCTGTAAGTTCGGCGGGTCCGAATTTTGAATACCCTCCACCATTTGGAACTAATTTGGCAAATTTAAAAAACAATAAAATCCGTAAAAAATGCTGTTAAAATCTTAAAAATACTAAATGTAGCTGTTATATTAGGGTCTATACGACGACGTGGACCTGCATTGGTAACATTTGTCATAAGCTATTACAATATTCAAATGCGAAACTTAAAAAAAAAATCGGTGAATAATGTAGCTAAAATCATCAAAGTATCGAATATCAGGAGGTACCGTTATATGGGGACTATATGAAGACGTGAACCTGCACAGACAATTTTCTGTCATAGGCTGCAGTATCCGTTACGAACTTTTAATACCAAATTGTGTAATGTCGCTAAAATCATCGGGAGGTACCGTTATATACAAAGGCGTGGATCTGCACATACAATTTTCTGTCATAGTCTGTAGTACTTCCCATTACCAACTTCAAATACCAAATTTTAAACATTTCTGGTAAATAATGTCGCTTAAATCATCAAAATACCGAATATCGGGAGGTACCATTATATGGAGGCTATAGGGCATTTTCAATACCAAAAGTCCTGCAGACATAATACACATTTGAGTAAAATTTTATCAACCTACTTCAATTCGTTCGGAAGCTAGAGTGATTTCCACAGACGGACTGACACCGCTAAATCGACATAGAATTTTATGCTGACCAAGAATATACATACTTTGTGGGGTCTAAAATGTATATTTCGAGGTGTTTCAAATGGAATGGCAAACTTTATATTCCCTCCATACTATGGTGGAGGGTATAAAAAAATATTTTCTGCACAGAAAGACAAATGGTAATTCGATTTTGCTCCAACTTTGCAAATCCTAACAGTATCATCAGTGCTAGGTCAGGTGTGTAAATGGACAATGTCGCCCCACACCACCAAGTACTACCACTGCAATAATTTCAACTCTTATAACATGTGATGTAAAACTCCGATTGTTTTCAAATTACACACATCAAAATATCTTTATTAATCCAAAGTCTGGTGTGAAGATGAGGTGTATCGGTCCACCCTTCTGGTACCTCCCCCACAAAAAGGTCAATATTTTGAATATCCATGAAGTTCATAAAACGCGAAATTGAGCTCCGATTCCCTTCAGACTGGGCATATCCCAATATTTCTATCAACACAAGATCTGTTATAAAGATGTTAGAGATCGAACCATTCCTTCTAGTACCTCCCCCACAAAGGGTCAAAATTTTGAATAATTATAACTCTTAAAAATCGGAAATTAGCATCCGATTCTCTTCATATTTCACACATTGCACATTATTTCAACTAACACAAGATCTGCTGTGAAGATGGGATATATCGGTCTACTCCTTCAGGTACCTCCCACACAAATTTTCAAAAAAATATTTTACTGCACAGGGAGTTAAAGGATAATCCTATTTTGCAAATACTAATATGTGCCTCAGTACTAGGTCAGGTGCGAATATAGACAATATTTGTCCACTTTATCAAGTATCCCCCCCACAAAGGGTTAACATTTTAAATAATTATAACTTTTATAAAATATAATGAAACAGTCCGATTGTTTTCAATTTACACACATCACAATATTTTTATTAATCCCAAGTCTGGTGTGAAAATGGGATTATCTGGCCCACTCCTTCTGGTACCTCCCCCACAAAGAGTCAATATTTTGAATACCCATGAAGCTCATAAAACGTGAAATTAACATCCGATTCCATTCATACTTGGTTCATCTTAATATTTCTATCAACACAAGATCTGTTATAAAAATGGGAGAGATCGGTTTCAAATTTTTGAAAATCGAAACGCTCAAAGAAAGCGATATATACATCCAACTTTCTTCAAAATCATACGCATACATGAAGATGTTATATATTTGCGAATTCCTTCTGGCACCTCACCCACAAATGGTAAAAAAATTTCAATATTTATACCCTACACCACAAGGAGGTCAATGTGTTATATATTTGTGCATTTCTTTGTAACAGAGTCGCAAAGTTGATTTATGCATGTCCGTTTGACCGTCCGCCCGTCTGTCCATGTGTTTTTCATAACCTTTCCAACAATACCTATATTGCCTATATTGGATCCGGGTCTAGCACAAGTCTTGTACCCGGACTATCGGATTAAAAATGTTGGGTCCCGGATCCGTCTCCAAGAAAAAAAATAGTTTTCCGGATTCAGGGTAAAAATACCTAACACTGGAGAAATTTTCAAAAAAAATAAAAATGAAGAGTTTTTCCTAGGCTACAGTTTAATCTTTGATTGCTCTCCTTTTTCTCCTCTACTTCTGTCATATCCAACAACTTCTTCAAACGCCTTTTTTATCTTTTGCTCCATTGATGGCATTGTTTGTCCAAATAAAAACTCAAAAAAAATAAATAAATAAATAAACACATGTGAAACACAACACATTTGAATACTTTTTGCCCAAATCACAAGTTTTTTTTTTTTGGATTTTTTAACGAAAACAAATACAAAAAATCATCAAATTATCAAAATAATTCACCTACGATAAACAAATGGAAGCGTACGTCGTTTTATGTTGCAATTAACAACAACAATGATCATAAATACAATAATTAAATTTTTGAAATAAAAAACACACAACAACAATTCGACACTGCCAAAATGCAAAATCGTTTTTCCACTCATCAATCAAGCAGCGATTCAAATTGAAGAGCTAAACGAATCACAAATTTGAAAATATTTCATTTTTTTACGAAACAAACAAAAAACTTCTGGAATTAGCAACGCATTGGTGTTTGGTAGTTGAAATTTTGTATGGCATCGGAACGGCTGTGCGTCTGAGTTTCAGTGTGCGCGGAAGGTAGTGCATTTTCATTTCGGTGTAATAATTATTGAAAATTTGTTCTCCAACAGAAATGAAAACATAGCCAGCCAATTTTGGCATGAACCAAAAAAAAAATAACAAAATAACATTTCCGTTTACATTCGAATAAACAGCTGGCACTTCGTAGACTAAACTAAAGACATAAAACCAGTCGTTGCCATCAACGGAAATCTTGTAGCGTCTTTGTTGAAAACAACAACAACAGCAGTTCTTGCTTTTGTGTGAGTTGTAAGACTTACATGGAAGTATTGATGAGATGCCCAACGGAAATAAAAGGCGACCGGATACTTTGGAATTAGAGGTACTCCGAGCACAAACACCTGCACGCCAAACCAGCCGAACCCAATCACCAGTGCCACAGAGACCAGCAGCTTCGACCAAACCCAGACGTTATGCCTCGGTGGACAATGAACAGCAACAGCCAAGAGCGACAACAGCGACAGCAGCAACAACTGCACCAACATCTCAACCACCATCCACATTTCCCAATTCGACCCCCCTAACCAGTGTCGACAGCCGGTCGAGACGTTGGTATCATTTCGGTGGCATGTTCTCACGTAATGCCGCTTCGAACACAGCGACCACAACCACCAGCACTGCCAATTTGGAAGCAGCCACTGCGACTCTAGCCAAACCAGAGCCGTCCACCATTGACAATTCAACGGCCACGATACTCACCTTGTCGCCCCACAATGCCGACGACAATCTACCCGATGTGGCCGCTGTCCAACCCAGGCAACAACAGCAGCAACAACACCAGGGTTCGTTCAAACGAAGATCACACAAATCCCGCTCCGGAAGTCTTTACAGTTTGGCCACTCTGGCCCAGACGGGTGAAGTTCAGTTACATTCACGCAGCAATTCCTGCAACAAATTCAAAGACAAAGAAGCCGAACTGGAAGCAGAGGCAGCCCTGATGTACGACGACCAGGTTGCCAAAGCCAAAGAGAAAACCCTGCTAACCAGTCAGCCACCTTCATTCGATAATGTCGATGAAATCACCGACACCATCGGTCCAGAAACGAAATCTGGCCTTAGGGCCAATCTCATGTCCTTCCTGAGTAAATTGGGCATCTGGAAGAATTCCAATTGTCGGCCACCGCGCAAACGATCATCGTTGCGTTCGAAACACACAACGCCAAGTGGTTACAGTGCGACAGGTGCGAGTAGTAGTTTGACCGGTCGGAAATCGGTAACGCTGAGTTGTGAATTTGAACAATTTCCCGCCGGCGATAATGGCGATGAAAAGACGGCGGGACGTTTGGCAAATGCCAAAGAGCTTGGCAAAAGGCGTCTCTCACAAATGCGTCGGCGCAGAAGTTCCTATTATTTTTCAGGTATTTATAAGTGTTGAGAGTGTTTTGAAAATAGATTTAAGAACTATTAACATTATTCAGAATCATATTCATTATTATTATAATTTGATATTTCATTTGTTATTCGAAAGTTCCCTTGGTAATTCGATAGTAATTCGGTAATTCTTTCTATTAAATTAAATTCTATTTTTAATTCCAATTATTTTTATTGTAATTCGAAAAAAAACATACGAAGCCAATGAAAATAATAATAATAATTTTATATAGAACGTGACAATTTTCAAATGGAAAAGTTCGACATACAAATGAAATAAATCGAATTTCTAAAGGTCTGTAACAAATTACAAATGAAATTTCACTTAAAATGTTTCGGATTAGAAGTGGAATTTCATGATAACAATCACAATTTTTTTAGTTGGGCTCCACTTCTTCTTTGCAATTTGAAACCTCGATTTTTTTTATTGAATATTCGGGATACACTTGAAAAACTTACAAATCGGAACAAATTATTTAGGATTACTTTACGTTGGGCGCCACTTTTGTTCGAAAATTCTCGATCGAGATCTTTAAACCACAACTCAAAATGTATATGTACATCAACAAGGGTGCGATCCAAAATAATCCAGACACAATAGTCCAACGGATTGGTATCCGGAGATTTTGGTGGCCATTGTGCGCTGGAACTGAAGCGAGGAACCTCATTTTGTAACCATTTTTGGGTGGCGCGTTTTGGTCTGCGGCCAAAATGTTTGCGTACCCAAGGCTTTAATACACCCTCCAGAATATGATTATAATATTCGTCATTTATTCTGATGCCATGGTCGATTAATACGAGCGGAGAGCGACCATCGGCTGTTATGGCGGTCCACACCAAGACCATGGCTGGCGCTTGAGTTTTGTTGGCCAACCGAAGGTGCACATTTTCAGCAGACCTCTTCTTTGACAAGTAAAAACGATCATTTTGCTTGTTTACAAACTGCTGCGCAACGAATGTTTTCTCATCGGAGAAAACCAAATTCGACGGTTCGCCATTTTCGGCCAAAAAAGCAACTCTTTAGCTCTTTTGAGTCTATTTTCTTTCTGTGGCTTAGAAATGACAGCAGTCTGAAGTTGGTTGCAGTTTTTTCATTTCACCCTGTATACATTCTTGCCTAGAGATTTTACACTAAAACTTGCTTCAAAATCTTTATTAGCTATGGAGCAGGAATTTCAAGTCCTACTGTATCAAAATAAAATTCATATTTTTTTCGACATATTGGGCGCCACTTTTTGAAGAAGATTGAAGATGAGTAAAAATGGAGAGTAAAATATTCGTCATTCGTGAAAAAATAGAATGTGGTGCCCATTGGTATTTTGTCAGCTTTAGAGATCTAAACAAATCTCTTTTGTTTCTTATCTTATCACAATATGTATAATTACATTTGCCTTCATTGGGCGCCATCCTTTGTTTGTGTGTCTTAAAATCTTTGTTTAAACTAATTAAATTCTAACATTATATGTAAAATGATTATATAGTATGTGGCTCATTTAAAGTCCTATTAACTTCCAATAAATGAAAAAAACAATTTCGTTCCCCACTAATAAACAAACGTTGTTTTATAAAAACAACAATAAAAGGATGAAGCCTGACCATTTTGCAACAACAAAATACTACGGTATCCCGAACAAATAAGCCACACTGTTCTAAAAAAACTATTTTTCACATACGTTGGGCGCCATTTTTTCGCCATCACTTTTTTCGTAAGCAAAATAAATGTATAATAAACTTACCTTTTCTGAATTAAACATATAAAAATGCGTACATGCTTATAAATAAATATGTTGGGCGCCATTTTCAATAATTTCTTGAAATTTCCTACTATTTTCAACATTATCGATTTTTGTCAGTAACGACAAAAAGCATGTAAAATAATAATAATAATATAAAAACTAAAACAAATCTTAAAAGGAAACTCTTTTTTCTTTTCTTATTTACAGATAATGAACGCAGAATACGTGCTAATGATCGGGAGTTCAATGCCCAGTTCAAATATGCCGTAAGTATCATAAGTTGGTTTAACAAAATAATTTACGCACAGTTATATTAACAACGACTCTTGAATAATATTTCGACTCATTCACTTATGAAATTAAATTTCCAACATTGCATCCTTTCATAAAAAATACTTACCCTTTAATTTTAAAATCATTTATTACTAAGCATTCGGCTGCGCCTCAATACTTCCGTACAATGCCAAGATAACTAGCCTGATATCATCATCCTCATCATCATCTATAATTGGGTTAGTGGGTTAGTCAGGCATGGCGAGCCTAAGCGCCAAGCAAATACAATCAGCCTTCTAAACAGACGACAGGCAGCCAGCCACTCAGCCAAAATGACACAGCAAATTAAGTTATTGAAATCGTGTGAAATTCACTCATTCATTCGCCAAACAATTGCGGAATCATGCACCCCAGTGAATTGGAGAGAGATATTCAATTTACTTGGGGATATCCATAAATGCATCGACCGCAACCATAACAACAAACAGCGTTCTGGTAATGTGGGTTCGTGTCGTTGAAATTGGCTGCCTGGCAGTCAGCCGTACGTAACCTGATATGGGAAACAATTTGCATGGCGGGGCTAAATTGTTGTTTACACAAATTTAATGAAATAATGTGAGAAAAAAGTTGGAGGATTTTTTTTGTATAGAATGACCCATTTTGCGAACGTTGGCCTACATAAAGAGAGGGAAAACTGTTTCGTAATTTTGGCACGAGCACAGGAGCCACAGGGAGTAGTCGTGATGACATTGTCTGATTTTGTGGCTATGATATAATATTTGTATTGAACAATACCATCTCTTGAGAGCTATATATATAGGGTGAGATAAAAAAAACTGCAACAAAGTCAAACGCAATAACTTTTACATTTTTTTTAATTTTATTGAATGAAAGCAAAAAATGTCGGAAATAGCATAAGATTTTAGAATAAGTTTAGATTTGTTCGAATTGGTCATCTTTGGCACGACTTATGACATTCAAACGGCCAGTGAAACCGTCAAACGCTGCCCGAATGTTGCTCTGCGGTATTTTGGTATTTTTTAGTTCCAACCTGGTTTTCCGAAATACTCCAGACACAATAGTCCAACGGATTGGTATCCGGAGATTTTGGTGGCCGTTGTGCGCTGGAAATAAAGCGAGGAACCTCATTTTGTAACCATTCTTGGGTGGCGCGTGCTGAGTGGGATGGTGCTGAGTCCTTTTGGAATGTCCAAGGTCTGCTGCCAAAATGTATGCGTGCCCAAGGCTTTAATACACCCTCCAGAATATTTTCGCGATAATATTCGGTATTTATTCTGATGTCACGGTCGATTAATATTAGCGGTCGATTAATACCATCACCATGGCCGGTGCTTGAGTTCTGGTGGCCAACCGAAGTTGCACATTTTCTTGGCCTCTTGGAAAGTAAACACGATAACTTTGTTTGTTTACAAACTGCTGGACAACGAATGTTTTCTCATCGGAGAAAACCAAATTCGGCGGTTCACCACTTTCGGCCAAGCGAAGCAGCTCTTTTGAGTCTGCTTTCTTTCTTTTGCGGTGTAAGTTCTTGTACTTTTTGGAATTTCAAAGGCTTTACCCCGAGCTCATTTTTTAAAATTTGCATATAATGAGCTGTCATAGGAATAATTTTAACAGCTGTCGTCCGACAATGGCTTAGAAATGATGGCAGTCTAAAGTTGGTTGCAGTTTTTACATCTTACCCTATATACCCTTATCCATATGCCCATATAGGGTAGACATATATCATTTGGTGCGGCCAAAACGTGCCTTATCAAAATATCGTTATTAGACCATAGGTCTCTTTGGTTCGTTTCGGGACATTTGGAGTCGATCTGGCTATGCCCGTCCGTCCGACGGTCCGTCTGTTTGTCTGTCTGCTGTCTGGTTCGCACGATAACTCTCGATGGGAATATCCGATTTAGTCCAAACTTGGTACATCGTAATATTATTATCAAACTTAGATCGAGTTCGAAGATGGGCGATATTCTTTTGGTAACTCCCCCAAATCCTAATATTTGCATCATGTAAAAGTTCGATTGTCTTCAAATTACATTTATTAACCCAAGGTGTGGTGTGAAGATGGAATATATTGGTCAACTTCTCTTGGTATCTCCCCCACAAAATCTCAAAAATTTAAATATCTATGGAGCTCATAAAACGCGAAACTAACATTCGATTCCATTCATATTTGTCACATCTCAATATTTCCATCAACATAAGATCTGTTATAAAGATGATAGAAATCGGAAAATTCCATCTGGTAACTCCACCACAAAGGGTCAAAGTTATAATAACCAAAACGATTATTAAATTCGAAATAAGCATCCGATTCTCTTCAAATTACACACATCACAATATTCTAATTAACCAACGGTGTGGTGTGAAGATGGAATATATCGGTCCACTCCTTCTGGTACCTCTCCCACAAGGGGTCAACATTTTGGATATCCATGGGGTTCATAAAACGCGAAATTAACATCCGATTTCATTCAAACTCAGTACATCTCAATATTTCCACATCTGTACACATCTGTCGTCAAACCCGACTGATACTTTTTCACTTGTTTTTATTTTTGTTCTCTCTCTCTTTAATTGTTCTTTCTTTAACATTAATTTTAAGTTTCAATTAAAATAATCCATTGTTTTTCTTTCATTTTCTCTATCTCTCTCTCTCGTTGCAGGACAACTACATTAAAACGTCCAAGTATTCGATGATGACATTTTTGCCCTTCAACCTTTTGGAGCAATTTCAACGTTTAGCGAATTTTTATTTCCTTTGTCTGCTGGTGCTGCAACTAATCCCGGCCATATCGTCACTGACACCCGTTACTACAGCCATTCCATTAATCGGTGTGCTAACCTTGACCGCCGTCAAAGATGCCTATGACGATATTGTAAGTATTACGACCTCATTTTTATGACTTCGCATAATAAATGGACCAGAATGATGGTGTACATACATCCATCCCCACAAACACATATTTGTATTTGAAATACCTTCCGATTGTATAAACATTTTATCACATTCTTAGCCGCTTGTTTCCGAATGCAATATTAAAATTCTAAAATAATAATGGCCTTTGAATGCGTAACACAACGAAACGAAACAAAAGAAGATGAATTGAATGTGGAAAGAAATGAAATAAAACTGACCCGACATCTGCAAGTTTTATGAATTACTCATTTGCCGCAGTCATCTAACAAATAATTCACATTCACCATTTAAGCAAACAAAAATTAACAGAGTTGCCAGAGTTGTCAATAGTCTCTGCTACATAGAAAGTTCATAGAATATATTCTGTTGTTAAAGCTCATAGAATATATTCTGTTGACTTCGATAAGGATTATATTAAAAATTATTTATTGGAGGAATATATATACCCGGTTGAATTCGGTTGAATAAAAAAGATATATTCAATTTGGGCTACTATTACATATATTGTAAGCAATACCCGTAAAATCGGATGAAGATATATATCGAAGCTAAATAAAAATCTGAAACGATTTCGATGAAATTTGGCATAGGTATTTTCGAGCTGTATTTGATGTCCGGTATTCGAATATCACTGTTGTGGAGTGCATACACATTTACACATTTAAGGAAGCTGTGGCTATATCTGAACCGATTTCCACCAAATTTGAAGTACATGCTTCTTGGCTGAATTCGGTTGAAAGTGCCATAATTCACTCCATTTGGGCTGATATTAGTCATTTGGTGCACAAAAAACCTGGAATCGGATAAAGATATTTATGGGAAATATATCCAAATCTATACCAATCTTGACAAAAATTTAAACACTTACTTCTGAGCTGTATCTTATATCTGGTACCAAAGATTATTGTTGTGGAATATGAAATAATTCGGTCGGATGTGCCAAAATTCAGGTCATTTGAACTGATATTGTCCATTTGGTGCACAATTAACCCGAAATCGGTTGAAGATAGCTATAGGGAGCTATATTTCATCTCAATCGGATAATAAATGCGACCTGCATTTTGTTCACAAAAATATATAGACATACGGACTGACAGAAAATGATTCTATGAAGATTCTCAAAAGGGTCTATGGGTCTATCTCGCTTCCTTCTCCATGTTACAAATAAATGCACAAAGACATAATACCCTTACCACTATGTGTGTAGGGTATAATAGTGAGTAATGCCGGCACAAAGTGTACAGGTCAGACTACAGAATCTAAGATTGTTGACTCGAATCTACTCTTCAAGAATGACCTTTATGTGTTTTTCTCTGCAAGGATGTTTCCTACAGACTGGAAATACATATTTCCAATTTCCAGCAAATTTAAGGTTTGAGGTTGTGACAAAAATATCTAAAATACCTTAAATTTGTTATATGGTGCCTAGGCAAAAACGTGGACCTATATACCTCATTTTCAATACCAAGAGTACTACAGACCTAAAACACATCTGAGTAAAATGTATCAACATACTTCATTTTGTTTGGGTGGACGGACATAGGGAGGTCTAAAGTATATACTTCGAGGTGTTTCAAACGGAATGACAAACTTTATATACTCTCCATATTATGATGGATGTTTTTATAACCTTCATAGAGGGTATAGTAAGTTCGTTATTCAGTTTGTAACTCATCGAAATAATAATGTTAGACCTAAGAAAGTATATATATTCTTGATCAACGATTCAGCCCTATCCTGTCTGACCGTCTGTTGTAATCACGCTAGATTCAAAACGAACAAAGATATAAAGCTAAAATTTTGCACAGATCAGTATTTTATCTGCAAGCAGGATAAGTTCGAAGATGGGCTGCATCATATAGCCCCTATTTAACGGTACCCCCATATTTGGTATTTTGATGATTTTAGCCACATTTTCCAATTAAAAAATAAAATTTTTTCGTATTTAAAATTTGTAATGGGTACTACAGCCTATGACAAAACTTGCGTATGAAGGTCCACGTCTTCGTATAGCTCCCATATAACGATGCCTCCCGATATTCGATATTTTGATGATATTAGCGACATTTTCCAATAAAATTCTATGAAAATCCACACAAGGAGTTCCTTCTGAGTTTTCTGCCACCTGGAATATAAATGTCTATATAGGTCCAGGAGACCTTATATTCTCCATGTAATGATACCTCTCGATATTCGTCATTTTCATGATTTTAGCTAAATTTTTCAATGGAATTGTCTGAAAATCCACACAATTACTTCCTTCTGAGTACTTTACCCCTGGAAGAGAATTTTCTATATAGGTCTACGATATCGTATAGTCCTCATATAACGGTACCTCATGATGTTAGCCATTTTGATGATGATGAAATTTCGTATTTAAAGTTTGTAATGGATGGGTACTACAGCCTATGACAGAACTTGCGTATGAAGGTCCATGTCTTCGTATAGCACCCATGTAACGATGCCTCCCGATATTCGATATTTTTAAGATATTGCGACATTTTTAACCCGAATTGTTTTAAATTTCGTACAAGTACATAATGGGTACTACAGCAATGAAAAAATATTTCTAATGCAGAACAATATCTTCGTATAGCCCCCATTGAGCGGTATTTTGCCGACGGACTGCACGGAAATTTCTCAAGTTCCTTTAAAATGGTGGAGGGTTATAAAAAATTCAGCCCGGCGGAACTTAACTGGTTTTTACTTGTTTTAATTGACTCTTGGAAGCAATCGCCTCCCTGCCATAGATGGTTTGTAAGTAGTTACTGATGCCAAAATTTGGTCTAGTTTTAGGACACATGAAAAATATTTATGTTGAATTTCATCAAAATGTGCCTTTTTATTTTCTCCCAAGGAGGAATTAATCCAATGACCTTCTGATTTATGGTTGAGTATACTAAACACTGTCCTACGTTTACGAAAATTAATCGTTGCTTAAAAGTCGATATTTCACGGTTTCTGTTTACATTTTGTGAGTTTTGCAGGAGAATACTTCTAATTTGTGCCTCGATTACTCATTACCTGATAATAAGTAAACTATGTTCTACTGGCTTTTACAGAAATTAGCTGTTATTTTCAGAGTTTGAGTACATTACCGTGCAATGAAATAATTGGCACAGGGTTCCTACAATTTTCTGGTTGTCTTTTATTCTACTCACTTTTAAAGAAATTTTCGGCCAAATGGCTCTCAAATGGCAACACAGACACCATCCAAACATCAACAAAGCTATGTACGTACAAATGTACCTACCAACCGTACAAACAATTGGAATGGTATGTTTGTAGGTCGCCTGAGTTATTCTCATGGGTTGTTGACATTGACATTTGTGGTACAATTTTATGCCACTTTAAAAGCCAAGTGTTGTTTATGATGTGTGTGTGTGTGTGCGTGTGTGTTTGGGTTTGGAGGCGCCACTCTCAACTACACTCGGGTATTTTTGGTATTTGTTCCATCTCCATGTGCTGCTGCGGGGGGAATCTTTATTCAATTGTAAAACAAAAAGTGTGTGTGTGTGTGCCTATTTGTCAACTTCCAAGGCTGAAAGTTTTCAGTAAGTTGTCGAGGTTCGTCTCTCCTCCATGTTATTGTTCAGACAAATTGATGTAATTAAAAGGAGACTTAAAAACAAACTATTATAAATTCATTAACGCTCCACGCCATGAGCTTGTTATGAAAATGTTTGAAAGCCTTTAATAAGTTAGTTAAATTGTTCAGATGTGGAAATTAAGTAGATTTAAATAGAGTGTAACTGCAGCGTTGTTAAATTACACTACGAAATTAATATATATAAGAACCAGTAAGGAAAAGTCAAAAGTCGGTCGGGGCCGACTATATGATACCCTACACCACTATGCACATTTAGTAGAGCTCCCGTAACAAAAGAATTTTTTTGAAGTAACATTTGGCTTTAGAGCAGTTATAATTTGGTTTCAGAGGAAACTAATATATGGGAGGCATATTCAATTCTGAATCGATTTTAATTAAATTTGAGACATTTTTATTTTGTGTATAACAAATATCATTGCTATAGAGGGCATGATATCACTTCGGGAGGGGTTATAAAAAATATATATTTGCTTCGAGATCCACCAATTGCAAACGTACGCCCGAAATTCACTCCATATGGACTGATATTAGCCATTATTTGCTCAATAAACCTGGAATCGGATTAAGGATATATATGGGAGTTATATCCAAATCTTAGCCGATCTCCATAAAATTTGGCAAAAGTATTTTCGAGCTCTATAAGATAGCTGATACCAAATATCATTGTTGTGGAATGCATATTACAAATGTGAGGGACTTACATACCAAATCGGATGGAACATATATATGGGAGCTATAGCTATATTTAAACCGATTTTCACCAAATTTGCTGCATTTGCTTTCAGACTGAATTCGGCCGGATAAACCAAAATTCAGGTGATTTGGCCATTTGGTACACAATTAACCCGAAATCGGTTGAATATATATATGGGAACTATATCCAAATCTAAATCTTGATCTTGATAAAATTTTGCAAAGATATTTCTGGGCTGTATCTGATATCTGGTACCAAACATTATTACTGTGTGTATTATGAATGTGAGGGACTTAACGCCAAATCGGATGAAACATATATATGGGAGTTATAGCTATATCTGAACCGATTGTCACCAACTTTTATGTACATCTTTCTAGACTGAATTCGGTTGGACGTGCCAAAATTGGACTGATATATTTACGCACAATTAACCCGAAATCGGTTGAAGATACAGGGTGAGATAAAAAGACTGCAACAAAGTCAAACGCCATAATTTTCACGCTGCCCGAATGTTGCTCTGCGTTATTTTGGCCCATTCCCAGTGATGCGCTTGCTTGAGGTGATCGACACTTTGGTATTTTTTAGGGCCACCTTACCTTCCAAAATACTCCGGACACAATAATCCAACCGATTGGTATCCGGAGATTTTAGTGGCCATTTTCCGCTGGAAATGAAGCGAGTAGCCTTATTTTGTAACCATTCTTGGGTGGCATGAGCTGAGTGCGATGGTGCTGAGTTCTGTTGGAATGTCCAAGGTCTGCGGCCAACATGTTTGCGTGTCCAAGACTGTAATACACCCTCGCGATAATATTCGGCATTTATTCTGATGCCCCGGTCGATTAATACGAGCGGAGAGCGGCCATCGGCTGTTATGGCGGCCCACACCATCACCATGGCCGGTGCTTGAGTTCTGGTGGCCAACCGAACCCCAACCTAATTTCATTTTCAGCTGACCTCTTTGGCAAGTAAACACCATCGTTTTACTCATTTTTCAATATTTGCCGAATGGAATATTGCGATATGTTCAACTCATGGGCCATTTTCGGCCACTGCGACGCGGGTTTAATCAAGTCGCTTCTTTACTTTTCGAACCATTTCTGCTGGTGTTACTGTTTTCTTCCGTCCACTTCCTTGACTTCGGGCTACGCTAACAGTATCACGGTAACAAGCGATGGTACGAGACACAAAAGATTTAATCACATTTAACTGCTGGAGTGTTCTAAAGATAGCTACTTGTGGTTTTCCAGCCAAATATAAAGAAATCACACTGGAATAATTTTAACAGCTGTCGGACGAGTGGCTTGGAAATGACAGCAGTCGGATGTCGATTGCAGTTTTTTCATCTCACCTTGTATATAGGAGCTGTATCTAAATTTGAACCGATTCTCACCAATTTCAATAGGGTTCGTCCTTGAGCCAAACAAATATTGTTTGGAAAATTTCATCTCAATCGAATAATAAATGCCACCCGCATTTTGTTCACAAGAATAAATGGACAGACGTACGGACTGACATGCATAAATCGACTCAAAAAGTAATTCTATGAAGTTTCTCAAAGCTTCCTTCTCCATGTTACAAACAAATGCACAATGACATAATTAAAATCTTATATCCTACTGATAGAATGAATAAGTCTAATATCCAACAACTTTGTACAAGATTTGTTTCGATGTACGGTTTTACATGAATATTTATCTTTTCTTGTTCCGCAATGAACATGCAATAATTGTTCCACCGAATTACCTCAAAAAAATCTCAGCCCATTCTTTGTCACTTCTAAAGCTAGAACTCTGCTTAATTATTTTTCCGGCATATTTTAACCACCCTTGTAGAATATTCCCTGACAAAAACCAAGGGAACTGATGATATTTTGCAACATGTCTACATTTTTATGCCCAGTGCACTACTCAATCGCATATGTGCGGGAAATGCTTCTGCATTTCAAATCGATTTACACTGGCTATTTATTTTTTCCAATTAAATAATTTATTGACTGGAAATAAACAAATGGATTCAAAAAATTCGATTCAATAAATTTCATTTGCATTGTTTGGTGAAATGTAATTAGAAAACAAATCCATGAATGTAAACACACATTTAAATATTTTCAACTAATTAACCCTTGTGCGGTCATAACCGAATTTAATTCAATTGTTTCCTTTTCGCCACAGATTTACAAAAAAATAGAAGAAATGTGACATTTCTACCATCTTCTTCATCACAAGTTTTATTTTGAATTCAATGGTGACCTAAGGGTTAATTATGTTTTTCCCATGATTTCCTAGGAAATTTACAAATTTGTTTGCATATATAAATTAATATTTAATATTTTTGTTATTGTTATATTTTTCTCACAAATTTCTTTACAGCAACGTCATGTCTCAGATTCTCAGGTGAACAATCGCAAATCGAAAGCTTTACGAAATGGAAAACTGGTCGATGAGAGATGGTCCGGTGTCCAGGTATGCAAACTATCAAAACAACGCCCCCGCACTCTCCGTCCATCAAACAACCACAATCACCTTTATTGTTTACACATGCACTAGCGACCCAGATATTTTGCCAAAAACAAAATCGAATTAAATATTATTTATTTTATTTTCTATTTTTTTTCCACCCTCAGGTTGGTGATGTGATACGCCTGGAGAACAATCAATTTGTGGCAGCCGATATTCTCCTGCTAAGCACCTCGGAACCAAATGGTTTGTGTTTCATCGAAACGGCCGAACTGGATGGCGAAACGAATCTCAAATGTAAACAATGTCTGACGGAAACCATTGAACTTGGCGATAACCATGACCAGCTGTGGAATTTCAATGCCGAAATAATCTGCGAGAAGCCCAACAATCTGTTGAATAAATTCGAGGGGACATTGCTGTGGCGCAATCAACGCTACGCCCTGGACAATGAGAAGATCCTGTTGCGGGGCTGTGTGCTGCGTAACACGCAATGGTGTTATGGCGTGGTTGTTTTCGCCGGCAAAGATACGAAGCTGATGCAGAATTCCGGCAAGACGCAGTTTAAGAGCACCGGTGTTGATCGTCTGTTGAATTTCATTATTATTGGTGTAAGTACACGATGTGGGATGTGTGTTGGAGAGGCAAATTTAATTTTTTGTCAAATGGCTGCGGAGATTAATGCTTATCTAAAGGGAACATTCTCTGTCTTCGAGAAACTTTATGGAAAACTTTGTAGACTTGAGAACTGATTTTCAAATTAAAAAAGTCTCATTCTTATATATTCGAATAGTCAATACAATGATTAACTGAACCATGATTTTTTCTATAATTTCTTTTCGTCCCCAAAAAAGAATAGATGTTTTGTTGGAGATTTTCTTCCATAAAAAAATTGGCGAAAAAAATACACAGGTGTGTTGTTTTTGATGATGTTGATGTTTTTCCGAGCACTTATTGCTCCAGCTAAACTGCAAATAGTTATTTTGATATCCGTTGCGGGATTTAGGCCTTTCCGTCCGCTGTCCGTCTGCTGTAATCCCGCTAGAATCAAAACGAATAAAAATAGGAACCTAAAATTTTGCACCGACCTGTATGTTGTCTGCAGGCAGGTCAAGTTCGAAGATGGACTATATCGGTCCACGATATCGTGTAGCACCCATATAACGGTACGCCCGATATTCGATGGATTTAACCACATATTTCAATGGAATTGTCTGAAATTCTACACAAAGAGTTATCTGTGAGTATTTTAACCCTGAAAGAGAATTGTCTATATAGGTCCACGATATCGTGAATGCCCATATAATTGTACCTCCTGTATTGTACCTCCGGTATTTTAATGATTTGTTGCCAAATTTTTTAATGGAATAGTCTGAAAATCCGCTCTAGGAATTCCCTCTGAGTACTTTACCCACCTGAAAAGAATTGTCTGTGAGATAAAAAAACTGCAAAAAAGTCAAACGCCATAATTTTTACATTTTTTTTTCAAATTTTATTGAATGAAAGCACAAAATGTCGGAAGTAGCATCAAATATTAGAATAAGTTTAGATTTGTTCTAATTGGTCACCTTTGGCACGAATTATGGCCTTCAAACATCAGACGCTGCCCGAATGTTGCTCTGCGGTCTTGTGGCCCATTCCCGGCGAAGCGCTTGCTTGAGGTGATCGACACTATGGTATTTTTTAGTGCCAACCTTGCATTCCAAAATACTCCAGACACAATAGTCCAACGGATTGTTATCCGGAGATTTTGGTGGCCATTGTGTGCTGGAAATAAAGCGAGGAACCTCATTTTGTAACCATTCTTGGTTGGCGCGTGCTGAGTGCGATGGTGCTGAGTCCTGTTTGAATGTCCAAGGTCTGCGGCCAAAATGTTGGCGTGACCAAGGCTTTAATGCACCCTTTAGAATATTTTCGCGATAATATTCGGCATTTATTCTGTTGCCACGGTCGATTAATACGAGCGGAGAGCGACCATCAGTTGTTATGGCGGCCCACACCATCACCATGGCCGGCGCTTGAGTTCTGGTGGCCAACCGAAGGTGCATATTTTCAGCTGACCTCTTTGGCAAGTAAACACAATCATTTTGTTTGTTTTACAAACTGCTGGACAACGAATGTTTTCTCATTGGAAAAGACCAAATTCGGCAGTTCGAAGCAACACCTTCGGTCTTTTGAGTATATTTTTTTCCTTTCGCGGTGTAAGTTCTTGCTTTTTTGGAATTTCAATGGCTAATTTTTCAATATTTGCCGAATGGAATATTGTAATATGTTCAGCTCACGAGCCATTTTTCGGCCACTGTGACGCGGGTTTCGATCAAATCGCTTCTTTACTTTTCGAACCATTTTTGCTGATGTTGCTGTTTTCTTCCGTCCACTTCCTTGACTTCGCTCTACGCTACCAGTATCACGGTAACGATATAATGAGCTGTCACTGAAAGAATTTTAACAGCTGTCGGACGAGTGGCTTAGAAATGACAGCAGTCTGAAGTTGGCTGCAGTTTTTTCATCTCACCCTGTATATTGGAGCCCAAGTTGGATAGCATATGCTCTTTTCCACAACCTTCAAGAATGTAAAAATTTTTCTAAGATTAGCGATTTTTATCCTAATTTGCAGGTCCTGAAACACAACTACAATTATAGATCCTGAAGTGTATTATTTTTGTTATTCTTTCCTTTACTATAAAAAATATTCTTCGTTTTTCAGATCGTATTGTTTTTGTTATCCATCTGCGCATTCTTTACACTAGCCTGTGCTATATGGGAGGGAGTCATTGGTCAACATTTCCAGGTATTAATTTAATAACAATTTCTTAATAAGGCATATTAATCTAATCTCCATTTACTCGCAGGCCTATTTGCCATGGGAAAATATAATACCAAAAAATATTGTTCAAGGATCAACCGTTATAGGATTGTTAGTATTTTTCTCTTATGCCATTGTATTAAATACCGTAGTGCCAATATCACTCTACGTTTCAGTAGAGGTAAGTAACGCTCTAATACACATATGCACATGCATTAATCTCAAACCCCCTGCTTCCAGGTTATACGTTTTGTTCAATCATTCCTAATCAACTGGGATGAACAAATGTATTATGAACCAACTAAAACCCATGCCAAAGCCCGTACCACCACCCTCAACGAAGAATTGGGCCAAATTCAATATATATTCTCCGATAAGACCGGCACCCTAACCCAAAACATAATGACCTTCAACAAGTGCAGTATTAATGGTCGGACCTATGGCGATGTCATCGATTTGCGTACCGGCGAAGTGATCGAGGTGACAGATGTAAGTGTTTGCATTCAAAAGAACAGTTTATGTTTCCATTCCATTTTTCAATATGGTTATATTTTAATATAAATACTATATATAACGTTTTTATATATAAAAAACAATTAATTAAATTAATCAAATAATTTAATAAACTTTGTCTATTTCTTGTACAATTTAAACCAAAAACTCCATTAGCCTTGCACTAAAAATCTAAATTTTTTTACCAAAAAAAAAACCTAAAGTTAAGCATTTTGCCTTAGTTATTTCTTTACTTAGTTACCCTAAAAGAAACAACTTAGTCTAGAAGTTCTTTGCTCTACTCCTTGGCCACTTTTAGAGACCAATAATAATCAATGAACATGGAAGAAGAGAAGGGTGTTGAAATAACATCAAATCAAATCAAGCAGAGTGTGTCTGTGTGTCATTATTAATTAACAGCTCTTTGTTTTATTTGTAATAAAATAAACACAAGTTATGAAAATCCTTAACCTGGTTTGCAGCGCCTGATAGCTAGGCCCTAACGGTTTACAGATTGCCCCCATTTTTTTCACTTTTATTTTTCATTTTTTGTTCTGTTCTGTTTTTAACCAAACGTAACTAGAGTTTAAGGATGTAAAAATGTCATGTTCCTTCCAATGTTTTTTTTTTCTAACTTTAAGTGTATTAGTCAGTGTATTTTCTTAGTTTTTTTCTATACTTAACCTCTAGTTAGTCTCTCCCAAATGTTAACTCAATTCCTAGCAACAAATTTATGTTATTTTTTGTTCTCCTTGTACTCCATTGTGTGATGATGAGGAGTGAGTCTGTAAATGATTTCCGTCATGTATCCAGTATGTGTGAACACACAAACAAGCACTTTTATGGCAATTTTTACACTTTTTATTTTTTTCTCATTATAATTTTTAAGGAGAGATATTTTTTCAGCCCATTCCTCTCATGAGCGTATTCTTTAACCCGGTTAATGTAAGAGAAATGTGAAAGAAAAAAGTCGTTAATTAAATGAGGTTAAAAGTATGATATAATTCTTGACATTATATTGGCATGTTCATACGTGTGTGTAAATGTAGGCAGCTGTACAGGGTGCAACGAATTAATGTCAATTTAATTTATAACTTTATTAAGTGCAGTACTGAATTTAAATTATTTGAATATGTTTTAATAATTATACAAAAATTTCGTAACATTAAAATTTGAGTAACAAAAACTGGTTCTAAATATCCGCCATTTGTAAATCAACTAATTCGTTAGATGATCGTGGGTGATTTTAAGTTACGATATTAGTATAGGCTTCATACCCTCAGTCATATGACTAGAAAGGGTATATATCATTTTATAAGGCCAAAACGTCTAAAAAGCATTTAAATAATTTGATAAGGCCAAAACGTGCCTCATCGAAATAACGGTTTTAGACCCCTTGCTCTTTAAAGCAAATCCGTTTCAGGACATTTGGAGTCGATCTAGCGATGTCCGCCCGTCTGTCTGTCTGGCTGGGAGTATCTGATTTGGTCCAAACATGGTACATCGTAATATTATTATCAAACTTAAATCGGGCTTGAAGATGGGCAATATTGGTGCACTCCTTCTGGCACCTCCCCCAAAAAAGGTCGAAATTTTCAACAAAAAAATTATTTTGCTGCACAGAAAGAGATAGGATGATCCGATTTTGCTTCAACTTTGCTAATCCTAATATTTCCATCGGTGCTACGTCAGGTGCGAAAATTGGCAATGGTGCCTTCCATCAAGCTTGAATAATTTTAACTCGATTAACTGATTATGAATATATATGTACTTTATGGGGTCTACGACGAATATTAAGTGATGTTACAAACGGAATGGCAAATTTAATATACCCTCCTTTTCAAGGTGGAAGTTAAAAAATTATTCTCTATTTAGGTATTGTTAAGGGCTTTATCATAAATATTATTATATTTCCCTAAAAAACAATATTACATTTTGGATGACACCTTTCTTGGAACCCTGTATATTTGTTGAATATGTAATCAATGCTTTGAAAAAAATTGTTACATTCTCAATGATTTTTCATTAACGTGATGAGTCAAGTTTGTCACTTATTGGGCCTAGAAACAGATAAGACACGTTTATACTATATTTCGAAGAAAAATGTAATAATCATACATACATACTTTCACACTTATTATTTTTATATGTGTACACAAATGAAATGACTAATATCCTGTTGAGCCAATGCAATACTGATATAATAACAAAATATATTTTATGACAACTTATTGTTAATAACTAGTATAAACATAAAAAACTGAGAGATTTTTACTCTCAGCCTCTTTTTCAAATTACTTTTTTTAATGCATTCCTAAAACAGTCTCAAGTATAATCCATATGGGTGTACTATTACAGATTTTAAAAGCCAAGAATGAAGCTTCGATAGCATTTAGAATAAAACTATGGCCTATGGCTGGACTTGCTTTTCCCCTGTTCAACATATAAAAATCTGACTGAGAGATTACCCCAAAAATAAAACCCGGCCTCTCAAATACATCTTATATTTGTGAGTGGTGTTAAACTTTGCACTCAGAAACCGAAATTCTAAAATTACTGCTGATTTGGTTTAAATTGGGACCGAAACCTTCAAAATACCCTAGACATCTAAAGGTGGATCTATTTGTTCAATTTTCAATACCATACGTCCCAGGAATATTTCAAAGCTCTTTTTTTAAGGGTAGAACTCTATCGTGATTTTAACAGGCGGGCCAACAATTGCACATGTATGTGTTGCCAACGAAATTACAAATGTACATACCAACATTTATAAATAGAGGTGTATAAGAACAACAAGTTAAAAACAGCTAAGTTCGGCCGATTAACGATTCCGAACTTCAATTACGAAATTTTACGCGATTAAGGTGAATAATGTCCCTAATATCATCAAAATACCGAATACAGGGAGGTACCGTTATATGACGGCTATACGAAGGCGTGGACCTGCACTGACATATTTCAGTCGTAGGCTGAAATATCAAATTTGAAACAATAATGTCGCTAAAATCTCCAAAATTCCGAATATAGGGAGGTGCTGTTATATGGAGGCTACTCTAAGACGTGGACCTGCATAGACAATTTTCCGTCGTGGGTTGTAGTACCCATTACGAACGTCAAATACGAAATTTGACCGGTGAATAATGCCGCGAAAATCCTGGACATACCGAATATCTCGGGGTAGCGTTGTATGAGTGCTATACTAAAAACGTAGACCTATATAGACAATTCTCTCAGGAGGTAAAGTACTCGGAGGTACTCTTTGTGTGGATTTTCAGTCTATTGAAAAAATGTGACTAAAATCATCAAAATACCGAATATCGGGGACACCATTATATGGGGGATATACGATATCGTGGAGTTATATAGAAAATTCTCTTTTAGGGTGTAAAGTACTTACAGAGAATTTCTTGTGCAGAATTTCAGACAATGTCATCGAAAAATGTTACTAAAATCATCACAATATGGAATATCAGGATGTGCAGTTATATAGAGTATAAATTATATCGTCGATCTATGTAGACAATATTCTTTCAGGGGGTTAACTACTTAGAAGGAACTCCTTGTGTGGATTTCAAGCCAATTCCATTGAATAATGTGGCTAAAATCATCAAAATACCGAAAATACCGGAGTACCGTTATATGGGTGCTATACGCTATTGTGGGCTAATACAGCCCATCTTCGAACTTGGCCTGCCTGCAGACAAAAGACAGATCAGTGCAAAATTTCAGCTTCATATCTGCATTGACTCTAGCGTGATTACAACAGACGGACGGAAAGACAGACAGGGCTAAATTGTCTTCCAATCTTACGCTGATCAAGAATTTATATACCTTGCTGGGCCTAAAAATGGACACTAAATTTAAACGTTTTATGTAAAACCACTAAAGAACATTTTGGATTTAATTCAGGATTATATCTAAAACTAAAATTGAAAAAAGAAAACAATTTTCAATCAAGAATTATATCATACGACTTCGAAATTACCTCAATCCGAATCGCATAGTACAAACGATATTTAGGTTACCAAAAAAAGCGAAAATTTTCCCAAACAAACAGCCATTCAATCAAAATAAAAAAGTATCCTTTTCTGTTGCATTGCCTTTTCCAAACAATTGTAGAATGAAACCGAAACAAGTAAAGGTAACAGCCGGAAGAGTGCAATGAAAAAGAGTGGAAACACTGTTAGCGGTGAGGAGAATATGTCGTCGTCCAAACGTTTGCACAAAGTCGATGTGCATTTTGTCAATGCATCACCAACGAACACCACCAATACTCCTCTACCCGCCACCACTACCACTACCACCACCACCAGTTTGTCTTCCAAATGGCAAAAAGACCAACAACGGCAACAACAACAACAGGAAGAAGAAGATGTATTTAACAATACACTTTTCAACGGCACCGTCGGTTCTTCCAATGGCGCCAGCTATGTTCGAAAGACCAGAGTAAGCATCGACAGCGATAGCACAACGTCGCCAACTAGAACTTCACCTCTAACACCGGCAAACACACCGTTGGAAAATTTCCATCACACGAATGGTGCACCACAGCCAGCTTCACCCACCTCAGCATTCAGTACACCGGATTTTTGTACAGTAGATGGCACCACGTTGGACTCGAGAGCACAAACAAATCGCAAACGAACGGCGAGAGTGCGCATTGAGAGTCCGATGAAGCGCATTGGGCGCCAAACTTCCACGCTGTCCACGGCCAGTGAAAAAGTAATGATATTGGGTGATGTAGCCTCAAACGAGGGGGTACTTTATAAGGCCCAGTCGACTACTACTCTTCCCACTAATCAAGACCAACAACAACAAAAACATCAGCAACAGTTACACCACAGTAACACCATTGCCACCTTGTTCAGTGACAGTAACAGGAGTGACAATGCAACAATCACCACCACCACCACCACCACCACTACCATCACCTCACCCACCCAATCCACCATCACCGCTTCTAAAGTAAACGCCTTAGTTCCGAATAGACGGAAAAACACCCATGACCCCACCAAGCCCAGCACTACAGCTGTGGCCATAACCACACTTTCACCCACATCACCATTATCTCTGACAGATCGGACAATTAGCGGTTCGGTGGTTACACAGTTACACAAAACCAGTACGCCGATAACGACGACAGATCGTAAAAAGAATACCAAATGTTGTTTTTGTTTTCCGAATTTCGGCAAACGGACTGGACCGCCACCATCGACGACACCTTTGATTTCGATCAACAATTCGACACCATCCAAATCTGTTCGCAAACCATTGCCACTGTCACCACCATCACCGCCACGCCAGTGTTGTCCACAATTCTGTGCACCTTTTTGTCGTAGTTGTTCCTTTGCCTATGACAGCGATGAAAACGTCGACGAAGACGATGACGCTGCTAGTGATCTACCGCATGGAGCGGACTGTAATCACGCTCACTCACTAACGGCAAACGCGAGCGATTCAATGTTTCTAAAACCACCGGCTATGCATCAGCAGCACCACCAGCAGCCAAGCGGCGCCCAAGCTCAGAACACTTCTAACACTTATGCTCCAAGCACTACAGATCACAATTGGACCAATCACCAACACTGTCCGCACCACCACCAACACCATCCGCACCAGCACGTATGCATGTGTTTCTTGTTTTTTTTCTTGTAACTATTTTGTGTGCACTCTTTTGGATTTTTTTACTCGTTTTGTGTGCCAAGTAAAATTATGATTTGTCGTTTTTTTGTTGGCTAAAATCCGATCGGAGTTTAAATGTTTTCATTTCAGAACTTTATTTTCTTAAGAATTATTTTTGCAGAACTAATATTTTTCATTAATTTAGCTTAGTTTTAAATTGAAGTCGAATTTAAAGCAAATTATTTGTAGAAAGTGCAACAACCTCTTAATGTAAGGTTGGTAAAAAAGTTTTTTCTTTTTTTTTTTGAAAATGTTGTAAGGATCCAACGATTTTTTTCTAAATTCACGGCAAAACCGTTCATCATCAAAATACGATTTTAGACCCTAGGTTCCTTTGGACCAAATCCGTTTCAGGACATTTGGAGTCGTACGAGAGGTGTCGGTCCGTCCGTCTGTCTGGCTGTCTAGTGCACACGATAATTCCCCAAAGGAGTATCCGATTTGATCCAAACTTGGATAATCATAATATTATTGTCAAACTTATATCTTTGGTACCTCCCCGACAAAGGGCCACCATATTATTTTCTCATATCTCTCATAACATGTGAAATATATCTAAATATTTCTCTTAAGCCAAGATCTGATGTAAATATGGAAGTAGCAAAATTGGAAAAAAAGTTCAATTTTTTAAAGTATTACACATCCCAGTATTTTATCATTATTGGATGAAGTGGGACATTTCCGTCCACTATAATGCCACCTCACGCGTATTTCAAAAATTTCCAAAAATTATCAAAAATCTCATATAAAATGAAGGAAATAGTGGATATGGCCCAAATCTTTTACCTAACTATACTTAGACTTAGGTCAGATACGATATGGACAATATTTGCCCACTCCTTTGGTACTGCCTCCATGATAGATCAGCATTTTAAATAATCATAATGAAAGTCAAAATACTTAATAAATAAAATTACTTTGGCTGAGGGTATACATCTGTCGGCAAAACCGGCTGAAATTATTTAACTGGTTTTAAATACATTGTCGAGTATCTACAGCTGTATTTCACCAAGGGCTTCACGAATATTGTCCTTTAATAGTCAATTGTTTCTGGCTTTTCGATGCAACACTTATCTTTGACGACACCGACATACGACTCTGCGGCTGATAATGCGATCATCAAAAAAAGGGCGTAAATCGATTGTAGCTTCGGCTATGAAGCACCGTCCTGTTGAAATCATCTCCAATTTTTGTGAACAAAAATTCGTTCAACATGGTCCAATCCAAATAGGAAATAAGATAATACGAATTGTATGTGGGAATAATACTTTCTAATTTCGCTTACCATTAATCTCATACAAAACAGAGTTCTTACAAACTGTGCATATTTCAATATTTTTTTTTTTTTTTTTTTTTTGGGGCATTTAGTTTGAAGTTTAAAAAAATGTAGAAAATAATATAAATATAAATTAAATTTGCCCTCCTTATATTTTCCACTCCGAATTCACATCTTGGTTCACTTGCACATTTTATTAAAAATAATTTGTTCAATTATTTCCATTCCTATCTATAGAAGATCTTTAGAAATAATTAAAAAGACGATTGTCTGCATATGGAAGAAACTATATTTAACAGAGAAGGCACTCTATAGAATTCATTCTATGAAAGGCCTTTAGAGGATATTCAATCTATAGAGAGTCCATATCATATCCTTTTTCTGTTGTAAATACTTGAAAAGTTTTCTCTCAATATAAACCCTGCAGCAATTTTTCTTCTGTAACAGTCCCCCATTTTTAGAAGTGCCTAAGAATAATATCCATCTATAGCAGACATTCAGAAATTCTCCCACCTGTTTATATTTTTCTATATACCGAAGTCCTGAATTATATCGCATATATATATATAAAAGAGATATGGAAAGTCTATCACTCATCAGAGGCCTAACGAGGGTCCCTTTTATTTATAGACATTGGTTAGAAGATATTCTGAATCAAGATGGCGGAGAAGGTTTTATTTCTAAACCATGAAATAATTCCGTACTATTAAATGAGACCCACGCCAAATACTGGACTTTTAACGCCTATTTAAATCCGGTATCAAGTATGTCTACGAATTTAGATGCATTTTTGGATGAAATTAGCTATAATATGACGCGTCAGGTCTCAAAGAACAAAATCCCACCCTGCAGGAAATGTCCAATAATTAGAAACCATTGGTATATCCTAATTATATCCTCAGGACAATTGAAGTCGATCTAGGGATGTCCGTCCGCCTGTCTGTCTGTTTGGTGCACACGATAATTCTGGAAGGGAGTATCCGATTTCGTTCAAATTTGGTACATCAAATAATTATTATTGTCAAACACAGATCGAGTACGGAGATGGGCAACATCTGTTTAGTTCTTCTGGAACCTCCTCCATAAAAGGTCGAAACTTTCAAAGAAAATAATTTACCTCATAGAAAAATAAATTGTGTAAACTTTGCAACTCCCAATATTTTTGTAAGTAAAGGTTAGGTGCAAATATGCCCAACATCGGTCCACTCCATCTTGTACCTCCCCCACAAAGGGCCAACATTTCGAATTATAATAACTTTTATAAATGTGCAAGAAGAGTCCGATTGTCTTTAAAATTCACACATCCCAAAATTTTTATTAAAGTGTGAAGATCGGATAGTCGGTCAACTCCTTCTGGTAATTCCCCCACAAACGAGCCAAAATTTTGAATATGAAGCTCGTAAAAAGCCGAAATGCGCAATGGAAAAATGGTATATATCAGCCCACTCCACCTCCCCCATAACGGATTACAATTTGGAATAACTAAACTCTCATATTGGTTCACTCCTTCTGATATCTTTCCCATTAAGGGCCACAATTTTGAATAATTATATTTATCATTGTTTGGGAGCAGAATGAAAATGATGGTTGATTCGACTTTCTAAAAACGAAGTATGATTCTTCCATAGCCGCCGTTATGTTGTTCATCTGATCCCGTATTTTCTTGAAATTGGTATTTGCATCTTCCATAGTAGTGCGCAGAATATAAGCCGTCGATTCAACGACCGAGGTATGTTTTTGCATCATGAACTTCAGGTTATATTGATTTTCCAATAAGTTTTGCATGCTTTCTTTAATTTTTTTCGGTCCTCCGCATCCATAGTCCCAATAGGACGTGCTGGAGTAACCAGATGAACTCTAATGGCGCTCGTTTGGGCCTCCTACTAGTCCTCGAAAACAAGAACTCGTTAGTTTCCTGTAGACTCCAAATCTGCCTCTCCATCGTTCTTAGAATATTGTCGTACGACGACTCGAATATCTGCAACTTTACGCATAGTGGCATCATTGTTTTTAACACGATATCGCATAGATTCAAAAAATGGAAGCATATTAAAAACTATGATCATGTTCCATTTCGAGGCTACAACATTCACTTATCCAAACCAAGTATAGTGCTGGTTCTCTTCCCACTGGACCTGTCACTTTTTTTATCTGCTTTTACCCCTTTTAATGCGCACAACTTGTTAACGGGTTTCTTTATCAACCCTGCTTGGGTTTTTAAAGTGGCGACTCTTACTAACCCATCCGGACCTGGATGGATATCTTCGACTTTAGAATTGTAAATAAGTATTCGATTTTCTTCAAATTTCAGTATTTGCAATTTTCCTATATTATTGAAGTTGAATTCTTCGGTCCACTGTATCTGGTATATCGCGCACATTTGAACCTTATCCAAAAATATCTTATATAAAGTACAGAAAGTAGTCGACTTAGGTCAAATCTGGCATCTTGTAATATTTATACCAGACTTAAGTAAAAAACGAAATTGACAATATTGGCCAACTATTGCGGAATCGTCAATAAAGGGTCAAAAGCTTGAATAATCATAACGCAAAGTTCTCACTGGATAAAAAATTTGAAATTTTTAAATTCTAATGAGTAGAACACATTCTCATAAATTGTAGGTCCAGTATTTGGAGGTAAAATCTCTTGATTCATCTATTCAGCAAACTGGCAAGATTAAAAAATATATAAAAGGATTTGAGAAAAATATAAAACTATCAGTTTTTTGTAGAATAATTAGGATTTTTGATCAAAAATGCCGCGTACTTGTCAAATTAATCGTTTAAAGAGGTTACATGCAGATTAAGAGAACTATTTATTTAATATTCAATAATTTAAAAGTCCAGTAAATAAAACAACAAATTTCCTAACCGACTAAATGTTAGAAATTTCTTACTGGAGAAATTTAACTTTTTTAAATTTTTATAAGGTTTGACAACAACTTGAATTATTTTTTAGACCAATGATGTACACGATCTTTCACGGGTGTCGCTGTTCCAAAAAGCGACCATTTGAGAAAAAATTTTATTCTATTTATCTTTATATTTAATGATTCATTTCAATTGTTTTTTAACATGAACAAAAATGTATAATTAATTTTTTAACACTAATTTGCTGATGATTTAAGAGAACTAAGAAAAATTAGACTGGCGAGAGTGCCTTAGTTCCTGGACAGCTCTGGTTTAGATTTTGATTTTACCTTGATCCTCAAAATATGACTCTAAGAGCACTAGTTTTGTTTTTTGCTGGAGTCTACTGATCGACGATCAATACATGCTTAATATTTTCTATTTAGAGTACAAATTCTCTCAACAGAAATTACTGAGTGATATTTACTGTAAAATGTGACGAAAAATATATAGTGGAACATCTATAAGTGGACCAATAATGGAAAAAATATTGCTTCTTATGCTTTTTCGCTTAATACTACTGCTTACGCTTTTTTAATCAAAAAATGTTAACTAAATTAAGTAAAAATAATTTTATATATTTTGGTAAAGGGTTTATTTTAATATACTGGACTGTGGAGTTGATGCGTGCATAATTTCGAAGAAGTATTCACAGGATGCATTTCTTGTATTTAAGTTTCGACTAAGACTGGCATTTACGGCAACTCCCACTCCACAGTCCTGGATTGTAAAGGTTGTATATTTAATGGTTGTTGGGTATTTGCATGGTTGTTCATGAACTACATAATTATTATTGCTGGTATAAATGCTATCATAAAATTAATACAGAAACTCTGCTGTAAACATAACTACACAAGCATACAAACATATTTACATTGTAGCTACTAAATATTGATATTAATTTGCTAAACCAAATGTGCCGAACTAAAATGCTTCGTACATAATAATGAACTCCTTTTCTATTTCGATTTTTCGCAAATATTTAAAATTAGGCCATGGCACCTGTAGACTTTTCTGCAAATCCCGAATATGAACCTGAATTTCGTTGGTATGACCGAACGTTGCTGGATGCCGTGCGTTCGGATGAAGAGCATGCCCACAATTTCTTTCGTCTGTTGGCCTTGTGTCACACCGTTATGCCGGAGACGGTTGAGGGGCGTCTGGAGTATCAAGCTCAAAGTCCCGATGAGTCCGCCCTGGTATCGGCGGCTAGAAATTTCGGTTTTGTATTTCGTTCTAGAACACCGAACAGCATTACCATTGAGGTAATGGGACGAAAGGAGGTCAGTTTTAAGAACTTTAAAACCAAATGGTTATTTTATGCTTTTATTGCTCTATTTGTTTTGCAGGAATATGAATTGCTGCATATTTTGGATTTCAATAATGTCCGCAAACGTATGTCAGTCATTCTGAGACAGGGTGATCGTATATTCCTATACTGCAAAGGTGCTGATAGTGTTATCTATGATAGACTGAGTTCGAGCCAACATGAAATGAAAGCGCGTACCCAAGATCATTTAAATGTAAGTTTCTGGTTGGGAGGAAATGAAGGGGTTCATTTAAGAATAGAAATTAAAATTTTATTTGTATCGTCTCTAGAAATTCGCTGGCGAAGGTTTGCGAACGCTTGTCTTGGCTGAACGACCATTAACAAGCGAGTTCTATGAGGGGTGGAGCAAACGCCACTTAGAGGCTTCCGTGTCACTGGATAATCGTGAGGACAAGCTAGGTGCGGTCTATGAAGAGGTCGAAAGTGATTTGCTGCTGGTCGGTGTTACCGCCATAGAAGACAAACTGCAGGACGGAGTACCTGAAACGATAGCCAACTTACAAATGGCTGGCATAAAAATTTGGGTATTAACCGGGGATAAGCAGGGTTAGTGGTCCATAGAATTCCATTTTTGCCTAAATAATATTGGAAATTGTTACCATTTCAGAAACGGCCATTAACATTGGATATTCATGTCAATTACTTACCGATGATTTAGCTGATGTTTTTATTGTCGATGGCAGCACCCTGGAGGAGGTGGAGAGGCAATTGAGACAGTTCAAAGAGTCCATAAGAATAGTAAATCGATTTAGGCCGCCACGTAAGTTTCATTTCACCCAAAAGGGTTAATTTCTGTTCTGCATGAAATGTAAAATAATAAGTTTGTATTTTTATGCATAGAAGATAAAGAGAACCCCCGGATCAATTTGTTATATTTTCACAGAATTAACGAAAAATCATATAGTATTGGAACTCTAAAAATAAAATATTTTTCTCTATTGGGATTCTCTAACTGTTTACGACATTAATCGATAACAGCGATTTCGTAATTGATTATGTTTTTGACGAAATTCCGTTTTTAGTTAGCGACAAAATTAAAGTAGCCGCTAAGACCTTCCAATAGATAATAATAGTATCACGACTCCATAAAATTTCTCTACAATTTTATTCACAATACTCATACAGTTCTTTTTATATTTTACAGCCTTTAATTCCACCATCAATCTGAATTTAAACGGTTCCCACGATCACAATGATCGCAGTACTGCAGCAGCTCTGAAAATGTCCCAGATCTCACCACCACCGCCGCCGGCAATATCAGTCGTCACCTTTAGGTGGGATGATGAAGACAATAATAAGCGTAACAAGGGCGAACCGGACAGGTAGAGGGAAAACATATCATCATCTTCTAATTCCTCCTCTCGTTTCTTTTACGAAAAAAAGAAGAAATTCGATTTAACTTCTATTCCAAATAGATTCGAAATATTTTTTGTTTAGTTTTCAGTTTTAAAAATTATTATTTTTTGGGAAAGTTTTTTTTTTATTGTTTTTGGTACTTTTTTGATTTTGAAGACACAAACACCTTTTTAAAGTAGTCCTTAAGTTTTATTTCACTTTTATCCTTGTGTTTTTTTTTTTTTTTTTTGGACTTTGTTTTCAATATTTTTGTTAAAGTATCTAACAAATGTTTATGTTTTTTTGTATTTTTTGATTTTGTGAAATTTTATACACTTGGAAGGAATTCAAAACAATTGATAGTGACATACAAATTGAAAAGATTAAGCAGTTTTTGGGTTCTAAATTAGGGAGCTGAAAACCATAAATTTGTTATAAGCCTTAAATATCTGCAAAAAATAGGAGTTGGATTTGTTTATGTTTATGAAGCTTGACTTTACCAAATCGATTTGTCGCAAGTAAAAACGGGCTTTCGAAGCCGGCGTTGGACAAATCCAGAACCATTTTTTTTTCTGAAAATGACTCCAATATGAAATTCGTATTTATTCTATGCGAATAACTTTTGTGGTTTTACCATCCGCCATAGATTTGAGGGTACATATATTAGTTCGGTTTTACTTTTTTTAGAGTAATCATGTATAGAAGTTCTTGGAACCGTTCATGGCCCTATGGGCTAGGTAACTGTGTTAATTGAATATAAATAAAAAATAAATGAAAAATATTTTCTAATCATTCTGAATGAAAAATAGATAATATCAGCTGTAAACAAAGTCATTAACTGCGAAGAAAACTAAAAAAAAATTAATCTAAAAGTCATTCGTTACAAAATGTGTATTGTATTTTACATTTACGTTTAAGAATTTTTGTCTAACACCGAATGTATCAGCAATTTTAAACAAAAACCAGTAAGGAAAAGTCAAAAGTCGGACGGGGCTGACTATAGATACCCTACACTACTACGCATAATTAGTAGAGCTCCCAAGAAAAAGAATTTATTTGAAGTATCATCCTTTGGCATAAGACGAGTTACTACTTGGTTCCAGAGGGAACGCATATATATCAGGCATATCCAATTATTTTATACCAAATGACATTGCTATACATAGAGTGCATGGTATCACTTCGAGAAGGATTATATTAAAAATATGTATCGTCCACAAAATGGAAACATACGTCCCGAAATTTACTCTATTCGAAATGATATTATTATTAGGCACAATAAACCTGAAATCGGATTAAGCATATATATATGAGAGAAATATTCAATTTTTATTCGATCTCGATAAAATTTGGCAAATGTATTTCCGAGCTCTATAAGATATCTGGTAATAATTTTCGAATACATATTACAAATGTGAGGGACTTAAACAAGAAATCGGATGAAACATATATATGGGAGCCATAGCTATATCTTAACCGATTTTCACCAAATTTGACGTAATTGCTTCTAGACTGAATTTGGTCGGATGTGCCAAATTTTCAGGTCATTTGGACTGATATTGGCCATTTGGTACATAATTAACCCGAAATCAGTTGAAGATATATATGGGAGCTATATCCAAATCTGAACCGATCTTGATCAAATTTGGTAGAGGTATTTCTAGGCTGAATTTGATATCTGATACCAAACATCATTATTGTGGGTTGCATATTACGAATGTGGGGGACTTAAACACCAAATCGGATGAAACCTATATATGGAAGCTAGAGCTATATCTGAACCGATTTTCTCCGAATTCGATGTCAAGACTGAATTCGGTCGGATGTGCCAAAATTCAGGACTTTTGGATTGATATTGGTCATTTGGTGCACAATTAACACGAAATCAGTTGAAGATATGTATGGGAATTATAGCTCTTATCCGATTATCACCTATTTTAAAAGGGTTTGTTCTTGGGCCAAACAAATATTGTTTGGAAAATTTCATCTCAATCGGATAATAAATGCGATCTGAAAGTGATTCACTTTCTAGTAAAAGAAAAACAAAAGTTTTGACTTAACCCGGAAAAGGAAATTTCAACATATATCCTCGTTTTGACCAATAATAATTACGAATGTAACGTAGTAATAAGATTTCTCAATCGATAATAAATGATTCGAAGATAGGTCTCTTTGACATGCGTCTGAAACGATATTGAGAATTTCCAATAGCGTGTTCTCAATGTGTAGAATCTGTTTTGCTAAAAAGGCCCAATTTCTAATTTAAGTCTTGTATTCATAAGAATTTAACCACATTTTAAGCCAATTTGGCTATTATCTATGTCCTAATCGAATTGTTTCTTCTATGCCATTATTAAAAATTGTTAGAATTCTTTCTAAAAATTATTTTCTACATTCTACTGAACATTTTTCAAGAAAGAAGTTTGTTAGAATTTTTATTTGAATTTTCTTGATAGCAAACAAATGAAAACGTAGTTTTTTTATTTTTAACTTTTTTTTCTTTTTTATATAAACTTTTTTGCTAGATTTGTTATTTTATTAAGAAATTTATATCTAGCTTAGTTTATCTTGAATACTGTAAATCTTTTCCCATTAAAATTTGAAATATTAATTTTATTCGTTGAGATTCTTTTTGAAAAACGTACAAAGGATGATTTCCCCCTCTATTGGTACCTTGTTTCGCCCGTAACGTAATATTTATACAATAATTATTAAATATATAAGTTTGTGTTGTTGTTATTGTTCTTGTTGTTAATGTTATAATTTTATTGTACCAATCACACTCATAAAAAACGCCTATTTAATTATTTTTCATAGTTACAAAAAAAGGAACAACATACATGCATTGTTCGCCCATAAAAATTGTAAATAAATTTATCATTCCTTTGGCATTTTAGTAAAACTTACAAAATTAAATTAACAACTGATATGTTCTAAAACTATGTAGTTTAAATGTTTGGCTTATTCCGTAGGCTCAAAATTCTATTCTATCCTTTCCAACCATAAATGCTTTTGTAACACATTCCTCAAAAAAATATTAACACTTATTTTTGTGTGTTGTTGTTAATTTATTTCTTGAATTTTGAAAATAACATTCTAATATTCGACTTTTCTTTATTCATATAGTGCTGAAACAAATGAATTGTATGACACATTGGAAAAAGGTGGCAGTGCAGCACGAAATGCGCTAAGGGATGATGAAATTGTGGAGGAAAACACTGGCTTTGCAATTGTCATAAATGGCCATTCTTTGGTCCATTGCCTATCGCCAGAATTGGAATCAAGGTAAGGACATACAAATAATTTCAATTTTGTGGAAAAATCTAAATTGTATTATCCATTTAGATTTCTCGATATTGCCTCCCAGTGCAAGGCTGTTATATGCTGCCGAGTCACACCTTTGCAAAAGGCATTGGTGGTGGAATTAATAAAACGTGCCAAGAATGCAGTTACCTTAGCAATAGGTGATGGTGCCAACGATGTCTCAATGATTAAAGGTAAGAAAATGTCAAGTATAGAATGACTCATATATGAAACTTTCTTCCCAATGTTCTAAATTTACCAATACCGACTTATCTCTATTAGTCGATGGTAAAACAAATTTGGCAGTTCTAACATTTAGATTTGAGGTTTCCCGAATTGACGTCAGGGGAGATTAAAGATCTGAAAATGATATTTTATACTTCATCATCTTTCACAATATTTTTTATTAGCACATGGTCTGGTGTGAAGATGGAATATATCATTCCAATCCTTTTAGTACCACACTCACAAAGGGTCAACATTTTGAATATTCATGAAGCTCATAAAATTAACACCCGATTCCATTCAGAGTTGGTACATCACAATATTTCCATCAACACAAGATCTGTTATAAAGATGGTAGAGATCGGACCATTCCTTGTGGTACCTCCTACACAAAGGATAAAAGTTTTGAATAACCACAACGATCATAAAATCCGAAATAAACATCCGCTTCTCTTCAAATAACACACATCACATTATTAACCAAAGGTCTGTAGATGGGATATATCGGTCCACTACTTCTGGTACCTTCCCCCACGAACGGTCAAAAGTTTGAATATTCATAAAACACGAAATTAACATTCGATTCCATTCAGACTTGGCACGTCTCAATATTTTCATCAACACAAGATCTGTTATGAAGATGGTAGAGATTCGACAATTCCTTCTGGTACCTGCCCCACAAAAGGTCAAAGTTTTGAATAACCAAAACGATCAAAAAATCCGAAATAAGCATCCGATTTTATTCAAATTACACACATCACAATATTTTTATTAACCCAAGGTGAAGATGGAATATATCGTTTCACGGCTTCTGGTACCTCCCCCACAAAGGATCAAATGTTTTAAGTATTAGTAGCTCATAAAATGATAAATTAACATCCGATTCCATTCAGGCTTGGTACATCTCAATATTTACATCAACAAAAGATGTGTTCTAAGAATGGTAGAGATCTGACCATTTCTTCTGGTACCGCCCCCACATAAGGTTAAAGATTTTGAAAAACAAAACGTAAACAAAATGTAATTTATCAGAATTAATGGCTTGCACATACCAATGTTTTTATCTGTATTAGATGAAGCATGAAAATGAAATAATCGGTTCGCTATGTCTGGTACCTCGTGCACATTTTCACACTTTCTAAAAATGTCCACATATATCTTCTTCTTCTATATCTATAAAAGAGGAAAATGTTTGTATGTTTGTTTGTTTGTTTGTAATTTATGGACTCGAAAACCGCTGAATAGATTTTCCTGAAAATTTCCATATATACGGCAACATCGCCTGAAAGTAACATAGGCTATATACATTTTTGAATTTCCACTTGGAACTGGAGATATAGCACCAGAATCGGAGGTACCTCCCAAAAATTTAGATTTTATATGCACATATCTATTGATTGGTTGAAGATACAGTCTCTAAATTTGGAATACGTAACGGAATTTGGAACAAAAATAAGTTTGCCAAATTATATTGTAATCGGTTCAGATTTGAATATAGCTCCCATATATATTTTCGACCGATTTCGTTCATTTGATGCCTCAAACACAATGTTCGATTCCAATGAAATTTGGAATGTGTGACGGGATTTAATCCGAAAATAAATTTGTCAAATTATATTGAAATCGGTTCAGATTTGGATATAGCTCCCATATATATTTTCGGCCGATTTCAAGCATTTGATGCACCAAACACGCTATGTATCCCCAATTTCAATGAAATTTGAAACGTGTGATAGATTTTATCTAAAAAATTGATTTCCCAAATTATATTGAAATCGGTTCAGATTTGGATATAGCTCCCATATACATTTTCGGCCGATTTCATGTATTTGGTGGACCAAACACGACATGTATTTCCAATTGTAATGAAATTTAAAATAAGTAACGGAATTGGGAACCAAAATGAGTTTGTCAAACTAAATTGAAATCGGTTCAGATTTGGATATAGCTCCCATATATATTTTCGACCGATTTCATGTATTTGATGCACCAAACACGCTATGTATCTCTAATTTCAATGAAATTTGGAATGTGTAGCGGAAATTAAAACAAATATACATTTGTCAAATTATATGAAAATCGGTTCAGATTTGGATATAGCTCTCATATATATATATATATATATATATATTCGACCGATTTCATGTATTTTATGCACGATATGTATGTTCGATTCCAAAGAAATTTGGAATATGTAACGGGATTTTGATTAGAAAATAAATTAGTCAAATTATATTAAAATCGGTTAAGATTTGGATACAGCTCCCATATATATTTTCCGCCGATTTCACATATTTGATGCACCAAACACGATACGTATTTCCGATTCCAATGAAATTCGGCATGAGTGGCTAAATTTGGTACAAAAATAAATTTGACAAATTATATTCAAATACGCTCAGATTTGATTATAGCTCCCATATATATACTCAGCCGATTTCACATATTTGATGCACCCAAAGCGAGAGAGACAAAATCTGGCACCAGAAAAAATTGCCAAATTATATTGAAATCACCACACATGATATATATGACCGATACCAATGAAGTTCAGAATGTGTGGCGGAATTTGGTTACAATAATAAATGTATGTGTAAAATTAGTTAAGATTTGGATATAGCTCCCATATATATTATCGGCCGACTTCACATATTTGACGCACCAATTTCAATGAAATATGAAAGGTGTGGCGGAATTTGGTGTAAAAGTAATTTTTTAAAATTATATTTAAATCGGATCAGATTGGGATATGATTTTAATAAGAACCATTGACCCACAACGCCTTAGGCTAACACTAAAAAACAACACATCAATTGATTTGAAATACACTTATTACGGCGAAGTATGTTGCTATCTCGAATTCACTAATTGCAATAGAAATGCCACTCAACTTCAAAAGATTGCAGTTTACTGCACGCTTGGTATTTGCTATGAAATAAATAAATCCGAAGGACAAACATTTCGTGTATGTATGTCATGTTACTGCTTTTCTAATGGTTTTGGTTATTTACGCTTGAAGTCGTGCAATAATTTTTTTTTAATTTTTAAATTTGTTTTTTTTAACCAACATATATTCGTAAATAAAAATTTGAATGCATATAAAATCAAAAGGGGTAGCGAAGCGCACCGGGTACAGCTAGTCTCATATAAAGTGAAGGAAGTAGTCGATATAGTCCAAATCTGTAACGTTGTAATATTTTTATCAGTATTAGGTTGGATACGAATTGGTCAATATTGGCCAACTGCTTCGAAACCTCCCTCATAAAGGGTCAACAGTTTTAATAATCATACTTGATTACTACTGATACTATTTTACTTGTTTTTATGAATTTTGAGATAAGGTTCTTTGTTCTTTTTAGAATGAAATCGCAAAATTTATTAGCACATCTCTATTCCAAATTATGAATGAATGATTTTTAAGAAGAAGAACCCCAAAAAGCAGATATTGATTTTGATTCTAATTTAAAAGTTGCTAATTTCTATTTTAATGACGACTTTTTTGAATTTCTCCTCTCATTTCAGCCGCCCACATTGGTGTTGGTATATCTGGACAAGAGGGTTTACAGGCTGTATTGGCAAGCGATTATTCAATTGCCCAATTTCGTTACTTACAAAGACTTTTATTGGTGCATGGACGTTGGTCCTATTATCGCATGTGCAAATTCTTGCGTTATTTCTTTTATAAAAACTTTGCATTTACCCTTTGCCATTGTTGGTATTCATTTTTTTGTGGCTTCAGTGCACAGGTAAGTAACACTGATGTTGAAATATTAAGCAAAATTAATAATAAATTCTATTTTTTTGTAGACTGTTTTCGATCCCATGTTTATATCGGTGTATAATCTATTTTATACATCTCTGCCGGTACTGGCGCTGGGCGTATTCGAACAGGATGTGTCTGATAAACACAGTCTGGAATATCCCAAATTGTATACCCCGGGCCTAAGAAGTCAATTGTTTAATACCAAAGAATTTGTGTATAGTGTTTTACATGGTGCCTTTAGTTCTTTAATATTATTTTTAATACCCTATGGTAAGTGAGGGGATTGCATGTCGTCGAATCGAAGGCAATTGTAATCTAAGTATCATAATTATTTTATTTAATTGTCAGACTTGAAAAGTTTTCCGTGAAAAGAAGCGAATTTAAAGAGAAGAAGTTAGTTAAATGATACTTTTTCTTAAAAGCTCTTTGACTTTACGCCAAATTTTGCAAGTTTTTGGAAGTTGTTTCTAATCCTACTTCTCAATTACTGAGAGCATGCCAATTTTAATATTGAAATTTACAATACGTTGATTACAATTGCTTTCGAAGCCTTTTTCATTCATTGTTTGAGTACATTCGTTGATTGAAACTTACTTTGATCTCTTACAGGTACTTATCACAAAGGCGTTTCGCCAAATGGTTTAATTTTAAGTGATCACATGACTCTGGGAGCGGTTGTAGCCACTATTTTAATTATTGATAATACAGCACAGGTATGTACTTAAAATTGTAATATACTTTACTCATTTGTTACATTAAATTAATATTTTTTGTTTCTTGTTTTGCAGATAGCCTTATATACATCGTACTGGACAATAGCCAACCACATAACCATATGGGGTAGTTTGATTTGGTACTTTGTGCTCGATTACTTTTACAATTATGTGATTGGTGGCCCCTATGTGGGCTCACTTACCATGGCCATGGGCGATTTAACATTTTGGGCCACCATGTTTATAACAGTGGTGCTGATAATGACACCAGTATTAGCGTACAAATTCTATTTAATAGACGTACAACCAAGCCTAGCCGATATGGTAAGTTTATGAAGTTGTTTATATGATTTTTAAAGGAAAGGAAAATGTTGTCCAACGTAATAGATCTAAGCGGGTGCATTGCTATATTTTATTAGGGATTCAAATTCTAGATTTTCAGAAAGTAAAGAATGCAAACATACAAATTGGACTAATAGATAGGCTTCATCTTCTATTTTTTAAATTTTCCAGAATTTTTAGGAGAAAAACAAGTAAAAAGGCAGCTATTTTTACCTTCCAAATCAGCCGAAAAGTACCGCTCAAATGAAAACCTTATGAAGCTTTACAAAGACGTGGTGCTGCATAAGTAATTTTTGTCATAGGCTGTAGTAATGATTCCGAACTTTAAATACGAAATTTAAAACAGTTCTGGTGAATAATGTCACAGACAATTTTCTGTCTTGGGCTTTAGTATCCATCACGAAATTCAAATACCAAATTTGAAACATTTCCGGTGAATAATATCGCTTTAATCACCAAAATACCGAAAATAGGGAGATACCATTATATAGGGGCTACATGACCCATTTTAATAATAATTAATAATTGTATAATAATTGTAGAACTTGAAGGCAAATTTGAAAGAAAACTTTTTCAAACTAATTTAAATTCAAAGGCAAAATACATAGAGTGTAGCCCAACACTCTATGTATTTTGCCTTTGAATTTAAATTAAATTTCGAAAATTGCAGGATCCAATTTTTTTGTATTGTATACAAGTTACAAATTTTCAAACATATTGACCCTCCAAGCAAGGGGCTTGCAATCATATTCCGATTTCCAAAACCTCCCGATAATCATAGATAGGCGATATTCCTTATACCTTATTGGTATTATTGAATACCTTTCCTCGGTGTAGTGGAACGGTTTCGGTAATTGGCAATAAAGGCAATATTCATTTTGGTCATGACTTGTCGCCTATTTTTAATCTCCTTTATAGAATCCGTTGTAGAATTCAAGTATTTTTGCTACTTTGGATGAACTCTATATACTTCATTTGTGGTGGGAATTATGTAACTTTTTGTCTTGGGGAATCGATGGACTGTACGCAATTTTGAATCCATTAAATAAAACCATTTTAAGAAATTGTAAAATAATACACCCATTGGAACTTATTTCTAAATATAATAAAAATACTAAAATTATATTCAAAATTTCTTGCAGATACGCATGAAGAGACGTCAAGCAAGCCTCAAATCACGACACACCAGCAGTGTTACAAGAGCCCCGTCTTCACGAAGATCAAGGCGGTCGCTACGTTCAGGTTACGCTTTTGCCCACCAGGTAATGCTAAAAAATAAATTTTCAACTTAAACACTAATTAAATATATTATATTTTTTAACATTTTGCAGGAGGGCTTTGGTCGTCTTATTACTTCGGGTAAAATTATGCGAAAATTGCCGCAAGAGTTTGCTTTCCCACTAGGTTTGGGTAGCAAAAAGGTGCAAAGTTCCGGTGCTGCCCACCAAGATGCCAAGACTAACAACAATAACAGTGTGCGTGATAACAATAAAAATGCTGCAGATGTAGATATAGTAGATCCAACAACGGCTACAGCACTCAATGATGCCTTAACCAATCAAGACCATAGCAACGATGGCATAAGTCCACGTGCTCCTTGCCAAGATTTAGATACGATAAATCTCTAAAAAACAAAATCATCAAGAAACTCAAACGGAAATCACAAATGCCCAAGCAGATAGCCGAACATAAACCAAATCTTCAATTATTTTTCATTGTTGGAAAAGAAACACGTAGGAATATTGAAAACAACTACAACAACTATTTAGACTTAACGATTTTTTAATTTAATTTATAATTCTAATATAAGGTCAAACAGAAAAAAAGATACTATGTAAATATATATCAACTTTTTTTTGATATATACACGAATTGATTAGAAAACAAAAAACATTTTTCAAAAAATCAAAAAAACCAACAAAACACACATTAGCTTTAATATTAAAAAAAATACCAGAGATGATGATCTGCTGCTACGACTAAAACTATTTCTAAACACTATTTTTAGGGTATTCGATAAAACAAATCGTTAAAAAAAGATCTATTCATACTAAGTACGTACATTCATACATACCGACCGACATGCCTCCATTTGTAAATTGTGACAAACATTACCAAAAAGAAAAAACAAAACACAAAACCTCTTCTATATATTTATATTCTTTCAAACAAACACCTGATGGAAAAAAACAACATTGTTGGCTATTAAACTCAGTTCTATGTCAAAAGTTAAAAAACACAAAATTTTCTTTTGGTTGTTTTACACATACTTACATACATTTATATACCTACATATATTTAATAGAAGACAAAAATACACTCTCACTTAAATACATACATACATATATAGCATGTTATTTAGTTGTTTACTAGCAGGACTTTGACGAATATATTCAGGATTATAAGTTTTTTTTGAAATGGTTACTTACAATGTGCTGTCATAACACAGAGCTATAGATTATTGAATATAATTTAAACGAGATGTAAAAAACTAATTTTCGATGGAATTTCATTTTTTATTTGAGGATGTGAAATTTCTCTATTTCCGCACTTTCAAATGTGAAAGAATATCTCCTGTGTTGAAATTAACTGAAAACTATACATCTTTAAAGATTATATTGCTAATATATTTAATAATACAAACATTGTAATTTAATATTCTATAGCACTGTGTTATGATTTCCCTTTAAAAGAAGAAGCAACAAAAAACCGTCATAGTATAACGCACTTAGGGGAATTTGCTGTGTTTTTTATGCATAAGTCTATAGTTTATTTTGTCATAGTTATTTTAATTTATTTGCTATTTTTTTCCATTTTTCTTTAAACTTAATTTGGGTTTACCATTCGTTTCTATTTCTAACTTACAACTAATTTATGTACGCATAGTAATGTAGAATTTTTATATATGAATTCAATCTCAGTTATATATATTTTAGGTTAGGTTAAAATCAGTGGACGGAATGGACAAGGAATGAATTATATTTTTGGTGTTTATTTATTATAACTATTATTTTTTATTCTTACCTTATTATTGTATTAAAATCGACGTTATACGTGAAAAAATATGTGATTTAAGTTTTAAGTTGAATTATCAATACGACAACAACAACTAAACGGTAATAAAATGATATATCAAAATATAAAAGTTGCAAAGTGTGTTTTATTTAAGAGATGATGGATCTTATAAATTGCAAATTTTTAGATATTTTTAGAGCATTTTGCTAAAAAATCTCATTTTGGTTGGTTGTATTGTATTTTTAAATCATTTATAAATCATATCAAAAGACAAAAAGTTCTAAACAAAATGCAAAGTAGAGTGATGGGATTTTTAGTCCACTTCAAGGAGTCAAAGATTTCTGAAATCATTAAAAAATAAAAGGTTGTTTTTGGTTCTACATAAGTCTATATTATGTTAAAAAAGTTAAAAAGTAGTATGTTCTGCCTGGACCGAACAACTTGGAACGAATTTGTACATTTAAAAATAGAATCATTTAAAAATTCTGTTGAAATTTTAAAAATATCGAGTATAGGGAGTTACCAATATTTTGGGGTCTATACGAGGATATGGATCTGCATAGGCAATTTTCTGTAACAGGCTGTAGTACGCATTAAGAAATGCAAATACAAAAACTGAAACAATTGCGGAGAATAATGTATCTAAAATAACCAAAGTACAGAGGGGGCCATACCAAGGCCCTGGTCTTGAATAGACAATTTTCTGTAATATACTGTAATACCTATTAGGAACTTCAAATACGAATTTTGAAACAATTCCGGTTGATAATGTCGCTGAAATCATCAAAATACCGAATATAGGGATGTACCAATATATGGGGGCTACACGAAGACCTGGACCTGCATAGACAATTTTCTGTCAGAGGTTGTAGGACCCATTAGGAACTTTAAATACGAAATTTGAAACAATTCCGATGAATAATGGCGATAAAATCGGCAAAATACCGAATATAGGGAGGTACAGTTATATGGTGCCCATTTTCAACATCAAAAGACCCGCAGACGAAACACACATTTGTGTAAAATTTTATCAACATATTTCAATTTATTCGAAAATTAGAGCAACTTCCACAGACGGACGGTTATTGTTCAATCGGCATTTTATGCTGATCAAGATTATATATACTTTGTGGCGTCTAAAATGTATATTTCGAGGTGTTACAAAAGGAATAACATACTTAATATTCCCTCCATACTATGGTGGAGGGTATAAAAACAGCCTATGGTCGCAGGATTGGGTCTATTTATATAAATAAATTAAATAATTTGGTCGAAATTTGAACACGTTAAATCTTTTTTTTTTTAGATTGCCCATATCTCGCACCTACATTAAAATAGTTAAAATCATTAACCGATTTGATTAACTTTTCCACAATTAAACGATTTCCAAACATGATCTACATTTATGAGATAATAAATGAACTGTACTTGACCACAAACTGTAGAAATTAAAAAAAACAGTTTTTGTATTTGACGAGGTATGTGATGAAAACCTTTTCCAATCGATTTAGCAAAATTCGTTTCATTGACTCGGTTTTATATAAAATACAGTTATTGAATTTTGAAAACATAATTTTAGGCATGGTACAATGAATTCAAGGTAGGGCAGAACTACCATATGATTTCAATTTTTTTATTTTTCTGGCTTAATATGTCAACTTCATTTGTTTATGTGTGCGTATTCTTTTCAATAATAAAAAAATTGTTCAGAAAATGTTCAAATTCTGGTGTTTTCACAATGCTTATTGCAACGTATGCATCGACAAAGTCTTCAGTTTTTGTCGCGAAATAAACCATAAGAGATATATAGAACATGATTTTGAAAAGAAGTGTTGACCTTTCATTCAGTTATCGCGGTTTTCAATTATTTATTCCAAATAAATGCAACAAGTTGTTTGATTTTTTATTGTTTTGATACTAACTAATTCTGACATTACAAGCCAAACAGGTAGACCTCTATACTTGCAATTTTTTCAAAGTTGACCTACCTTCTCTTCATTGTACCATGATTTTAGGTATCTGCTTACATAAATGACCGTTAGAATATACACAATTCCGATTCAACAGTGTTTTTTTTTCGCAGTGGCTAATTTAATTTCAGTTTTAGAACCATGTACATTTTTGTCAAACTTAGGTTAATTTTGAAGATTGAAATTTTGCGCATCGGAGTAGCAAGCATGGTACAATGAATTCAAGGTAGGGCAGAACTACCATATGATTTCAATTTTTTTATTTTTCTGGCTTAATATGTCAACTTCATTTGTTTATGTGTGCGTATTCTTTTCAATAATAAAAAAATTGTTCAGAAAATGTTCAAATTCTGGTGTTTTCACAATGCTTATTGCAACGTATGCATCGACAAAGTCTTCAGTTTTTGTCGCGAAATAAACCATAAGAGATATATAGAACATGATTTTGAAAAGAAGTGTTGACCTTTCATTCAGTTATCGCGGTTTTCAATTATTTATTCCAAATAAATGCAACAAGTTGTTTGATTTTTTATTGTTTTGATACTAACTAATTCTGACATTACAAGCCAAACAGGTAGACCTCTATACTTGCAATTTTTTCAGAGTTGACCTACCTTCTCTTCATTGTACCATGGTAGCAAGCTACTTTTTTTGAATATTTCATTCTAAATCATGGTGAAATATTTAAATCTATATATTTTTTTCATATTTTTATTTATTTATCAAAACAAAATGGTATTTAAAAAAAAACAAAAACGATATTTTTAATTCGTTGGAGGAATGACAACATTCTTAAAGAAATTATTTAACTGTAAGTGCAATAAAGAATCAACACTGATTCGAATACATTAACTCATTAGAATATAAGTTTCTTGGGATTACCAACACCCTCCATGGCATCCATAATTTTTCTTTTCAAATTTGGTTTTTCATCGGCATTCTGTTTATTCGAACTTGGTAAGGGTAGTTTATGACCCAGTGTGGGTGCCGGTTTATTTCTAAAATATGGCATTTCCAGTGCCTCCGTACAGTTACAACGCTTCTGCGGATCCAAAGCCAACAACTTTTCCGCCAAGTGTATTAGATCATCGGGGGCAGCTGTGAAATATTCTGACAGTGGTGCACCAGGAAAATGAACAAATTGCATATAATCGGGTAATTTTGTTATATTTGGCCATGTTTCTTCAGAGGGTGTACCCAAAGCCTGGAATATTTTGGTCAATTGATTAAGATCCGAGTCACCAGCCAAAAATGGTACTCTCAGCAGTAGTTCAGCCAGAATACAACCCACCGCCCAAATATCAATGCCGGTACCATATTGCCGAGCACCAAACAGCAGTTCAGGGGCACGATACCAACGTGTCACAACCTGATGTGTGTAAATTCGTGAAGGGGAACCGAAAAATTTCGCCAAACCAAAATCACCAATTTTCAAAATGCCCTCAGAGTTCACCAACAAGTTATTTGGTTTTAAATCTCGATGTAAAATCCAATTCATGTGCAGATATTCCAGGCCCTTAAGTGTCATCACCATATATGCTTTTATGTCAGCTTGGGTTAGAATAATTTTGGGATCTTTGATGATGATTTCCAAGTCTGTGTCCATGAAGTCAAATACCAATGACACGTTTGATTTGTGACCAAAAACATCCAGCAACCCAATGCAATTTTCATGTTGTAACTCGTGCAGTAACTTGATTTCTCTCAAGGCTGTGCGATTTATGCCATCCTGGGCTTCTTCTCTGCTTCCGATTTTGATCTTCTTCACAGCCACAATTTGTTCTGTCAGCACATCGCGAGCTTTATAGACTGTGGCGAACTATAAACAAAGAAATATGTTTTCCATCATCGAAGTTTTGTGTTTAGAATTGAAGCCTTTGCATATCACTTACCTGACCTTCACCCAAGAAGGCAATCTTCTCATAGCGGGTCAATTTGTTGTCCATCTTAGAACCAGAGGTATTGATTGCTTGGAATTAGGAACAGGCAGGAACCGCGCTTTCGTTTGTTTGGTTGGTTGTTCGTTGCGAGCGTGGTAAACAAAAACGAAAAACGTCCCAACGAAACGAATATGAAGGCCACAAAGGAATACTCGATAAAAAATAAACAGAAAGCAAAGACTCGGGGTACTCTTTTGTTTACGAATGAGACGTGAGGAAAATTGAACATCTTCACTAAAGAGCGCGGAACTACCGTTTTTTTTTTCTTTGCAACCACATATACAATAGTTCACATAATTCACTTGTAAAGGCAAATATAAGTTGTGTTCCAGTAGTTTTTTAGTAGTAAAACTAGCAGAAGAGAGAACAGTACAAAATGCCATTCTCATTTAGGTGTGCTCAAAAAATAAGGGAACGGAAAATTAGCAGAAATGCGATAAAATGTCAACATTCAAAATTCCAAAAGAAAACAGTCTAAATCGGACTGGTGAAACCTTACTGAAATGGACGCCAAAATTTTTTAAAAAAAAGAGTATCAGTCGCTACTCAACAATTGTTGATGCTAGACTGCGCTTATAACTCCGTTTCGCTTTGCGTTGCAAAAACAACACATAAACAAACAAAAACAACATACACACATACATTCCTTTTGCTTAACGACATTTTTATTTCTTTTTTTTTTTGTGTCTTCCATTAAAAAATTTTTCAAAATGGATGGGGATCCGCCACCCCAGCCGAAACCACTCTGGGACCCCAATAAACGTCGCGCAAATATGATCTCAAATTTAAACAAAAAATTTATAAATAATGAAGGAGAACCTATTAACAACACAAATATGTCACAGGCTTCATCCAATGAGTCTGAATCTACACAAAAATTCGATTCCAACTATAACGCCATGAAAACCAACACTTTTTATCCACAACACCACCCAGGGCCATTTTATGTTATGGTTACTTCGGAAACACCCATAAGTTCCAGAAGAAAAAACTGTGAATTACACCTATATGCCCTTTTTCAGAAGATTCAAATGCCCACTACATATGTTTGCAAAAACGTTGGCTACAACACCTTCCGCCTTACTTTTAATAACTGCGGCTTGGCAAATTCTTTTGTACAAAACAAAAGACTAGAAGAAATAGGTCTAAAAGCTGAAATCCCAGAGCGATTTATACAAAAATTTTATATTATTAAAAATGTTCCTAAATCAATTGATGGTATAACCATTAAAAATTCAATTGAAGAAAATAATGACATTGATGTGATATCAGTTTACCGATTCACAAGAAAAGTGGAAAATGATTTAATAGAAGAGACTGAAACGGTCAAAGTAGGAATTATATGCGATGGAGTTCCTCAGTACATATTTATGTGTGGTACTAGAGTCATACCCGACCTATATGTTCCCCCAGTACGTTTGTGTAAAAATTGTGGACGCCTTGGCCACATCGCTGTACGTTGTAGATCTACAAAACGTTGCCTTGACTGCGGCAAATTGATAGTCTGCCCAAATCAGTGCAAGGAACAAAAATGTAAAGAATGCCTGTCTACCACCAAATGCAAAGAAGAATGCAATTTACCAAAATGTATCCTATGCAACAGAGATGATCACAATGCTATGGATGAAAAAATATGTCCAAGATGGAAAACTGAAAGGAACATAAAATCAATCATGACTCTTTCCAATTTGAGCAGGAAAGAGGTTATACAAAAGTATCCCGAAACCCAAAATTATTATGATATTTTGGCAGACAATAATTACAATTCCAATTTTCCTCCAATTAGAAAAACAACCAATCAACCAAAAATTAATTTTAATGAAGAAATCAACAAAAGGATTACGAAAATAAAATACAGCAAAGTAGCGGCTCCTCGTATAAAGTCGAATCATCCCGTTGCTAGTCCGATAAATATTACGCCTTCAGTACCTGTGTATGAGTATTCATCATTTTCCAAAGTTTCGGAGCTGGAAAAAACCATGTCAGTATTTACAAAGCAAATGTCTCAATTACTCACCTCATTGAATTGCGCGGAAGGCTTGGATATCCTAGAAAACTTCAGGAAAACATTGTTAACTCGTACTGAAAAAAATACAAAAAAGATAGTAAATCAATATGAAAACAGTCAACTTCCAACATCTAGTTCTTCCCAAAAAACTAAAACAAACATAGATCCATGAATATTTTACAACATAATATACAAAGTCTTAATAAGAACAAGCATTATCTTGAATTTTATTTGAACAAATTCAATATAGACATCTGTGTCTTAAGTGAAATTTTTAACATAGATGAATCTCAAAATAACACAAATATACATAATTATAACATAGTGTCAAAAAAGAGAAAAGACAATTATGGCGGCGTTGCCATACTCTTAAAAAAGAACATCAAGTTTAAAAAAATTAAATTCCAAACAAATTTGGACATAATTATTTGCCAAACAACAAATATCACAAACAATCTTACGATAGTATCAGTATATTTTCCACATTCCATTAAATCCTGCGAAATAAAACAAGAGCTCGAAAGACTGATATCATTTCTTGAATTACGAACCGATGTATTAATTTGTGGTGATTTCAATGCAAGACATACATCTTATGGAGACTCGTTTAATTCACACCGAGGTAACATTGTGAAAAGTTTCTTCGATTCATCTAACTTTTATCATCTTAACAATGGTCACTTTACTTTTAAAAAACGTCTAAGTGATACCACTGGCTCTGTTTTGGACCTTTCTTTCACGAATACGGCTTTAGACACCACATGGAAAGTACAACCGTGCACTATTGGGGGAAGCCATCATTATCCCATAGTCATTAGCATCATTGGCATCAGTAAAATTAAAAACCAAAAGTTTTTAGCTAAAAATAAACTATTGAAATCACTCAACAAAACGAATTTTACCCCCTCTTTTGATGAAATACATTCCACTTTCAATGATGAAATTAGAAAATCAACATACACCATTAATACTAAAAAGTCTCCCAAAGTGTGGTGGGATGCCATTGTGGAAAAAACACACAGACTCCAACTTGCTGCACAAAAGACTTATGATATGTTCAACAATAATGTAAATGCTTCAAATTTAATTGAAGCAAAAAAAGCTTTTCAAAATGCAGTGAAATTCGCCAAAAATAAAGCCTTCAAAACAAGACTCCATGATCTCAATAAAGAACCAAATCCAAAAGCACTATTCAAACTTGTTCGAGGATGTAAAAACTCTTCTACAACTATATTTCAAAATAAATGGTCATCTGATAATAACAAACAATTTTTAATTCATCTAAGGGATCAAGTCCCAAATAATTCTCCAGTATTAATTCCGATTACCAGTTCCAACTTCACCGATGCCTTTTCCACTGACGAATTCAACTATGTTCTAAACAAAAAGAAAAAACCATCTGCAGCAGGTATAGACAGGTTGGTTACAATTTGTCAGAATCAGCAAAACAAAATTTACTGAAAGCCATGAACAATGCATGGAAAGAGTGCAATGTCATGATGGAGTGGAGGAAAATTAAAATTGTTCCCATTCCGAAAAGAGACAAAGACTTGGATATCTATACAAATTACAGGCCAATTGCTTTAATATCGGTTTTCGCGAAAATTATTAACCTAATGGTGAAGGAAAGACTTCAGAATTTCTTGGATCAGAACAATATTTATCCACAAAACACATATGCATATAGGAAAAACCTTTCTGCCTCTATGTGCATAAACGATTTACTATACACAATTAACTGTCAAAAAGAGCAAGGTGATAAAGTCATCATTGTATCATTAGATATTAACAAGGCGTATGAATGTGTCAAAATAGAATTGCTTTTTCGAATCCTAAACGAGATTTCATGTCCTACAGACATTTCCAAGTGGATTATTAATTTTCTAAAACATAGAATTTTAGTTATGGGCAATGAAAGCCTGGAAATTTATAATGGTCTTCCTCAAGGCAGCTGTTTAAGTCCCACTCTTTTTAATATATACACACTTGGCTTACATGGTATAAATAATCATCACACGAAAATATTCCAGTTTGCGGATGACTTTATAATATTGTCAGCACATAAAGATTTTGATACTGCTAATGAGATCCTTCAGACAAAAATGAATGAATTTTGTGACATTTTAAAAACGCTAAATCTTTCTTTCAACACTGATAAAACCGTGGCCATGTATGTAGCTAAAGGTGCCAGGAAAATACCAAAAATTACACTTCATGGTGTATCAATCAACGCAGTAGAAAAGATAAAATTCCTAGGAAGGCACATCAAAAATAGTTTGACTATTAAGGATCATTATGAGGATGTAATCAAATCGTGCAATACAACTTTAAATGGTTTAAAAATGATAAACTCCCTTAAAGGCGGAATTCACCCCAAAATATCCATAAATTTGGCGAAATCACTTCTGTTCTCTAAATTGGAATATTCTATATCATCTATGGCGCACATGCCCAATCATGTTAACAAAAAACTGACTACATGTCAAAACAAAATTTTAAGGAAAAGCCTGGGGCTAACGCCTTCGACGCCTGTTCACGTAATATACGCTTTAGCAATTGTTCTGCCTCCAGAATTTCGTTCGCAATACCTTGCTGCCAAAGAACTTTTAAAATTTAAAGTATTTCAAATGAGTACCTATCAAAAACTCACGTCACACCCATCAAACAAAACAAGTCTCGGCATGATATACAACAAATTTAAAACCATATTCGATAATACAAAAATATGTCCATCCGAACCCCCAGGGCAAAAAATATATTTTTTTATGAATATGTTTAATGCACCGAAACAATCACAAGGAAAGGAATTCTTCAATAGTATCTATCTTCAGCAACTTAATCAATTCAAATCGAATGGAACATCTGTATGGTCAACCGATGCCTCGGTTATTGGTAATAAAACAGGCTGCGGAGTGTGCAATATATCAACCAATGAAAACTTCCTTTTTAAAATTAATGCAAAATGTTCGTCACTGATGGGGGAACTTAACGCTATTAACAAGGCTGTTGACCTCATTATAGAAGACGGTATACAAAAAGCTGCAATCTTCACTGACAGCAAAAATGCTTGTTTGCTGTTAGAGAATAACACATCATACAACTACTTAGTCAATAATATTATTAAAAAAG